ACAATAGCAAGCCAGGTAGGCAACGCGGACACGCGCGCGCGGGCGGGTCGCCTACCCGCCGGGCGGCCCGCATGGCACTGGCGCGGCGCGCTTAGCTTAGCAGCCTAGCAGCGCCTAGCGTAGTACGGCCATCGGGGAGGTCGTCCCGCGGCGTCGCCGACGATTGCGAAGGCGAAATGTTACTTGCCGCCTTACCCTCGCAGTCGCTAGCGACCGCGCTAGCGACCCAACTTGCATCCAATGGCGGCGCTTTGGCGGCACGGCATCGCGCTGCACAGTGGGCCAGAAGACCGGTGCGGAGGCGGCCAAAACTCTAGACGCGTTTTGAGCTCCAGATTCGCTTAACAAGCCTCGAACCGGACGTGTTACCCCGCCAATGGATTCCTCGTTCGGAGAGCAATCCATTGGTGGGGTCACACGTTCAGTTCGAGTCCCATTTAGCGACTCTGGAGCTCAAAATGCGTCTAGAGTTTTGTCCACCTCCACACACTGTGCGCTGTCTCTCTGTCTCTCTCTGTGGCCGCGTGAGCGGGGGGCTGGCCCGGCTGGCCGGGGCGAGCTAGACCTTGGTCTGGTCATGTGAGTCGACGGGCTGCGTCTGCACCCTCGCGGCCCTCGGAGCCTTCGCGGCCAGCCTTAGTCAGGGCCTTTGCAAAATAAACAAGCAGAGCGGCCAGCCCCCCCCCCCGGCCCGCCCCGCCACGCCACGCATCTCCACGTCGCCACACGCCGCGCGCCAAACGGGCGCCGTTCGCAATGCTTCACATTTTTCCAGTGTGGAAAAATCCCGCCTGGAGGCGGCCCAAGACCACCACCACGACCAACGCGCGCCAACGCGGCTCTCTGGCTCGGGCGGGCCGTCCACGTGCTGCCTGTTGGCTGTCCCGCCCCGCCGCCGTCCAGAGGGCCCTCGAAGAAACTCCGCGACTGTCTGAGGCTGAGAACGAACCCCATGAGGCTGGCCGCCAGTGGCCGTCGACTCGCCCCCGGGAGATTCGCAGGCGGTTGCACCGAGCAAATCCCGAGCAAATCCCGAGCAAATCCCAGCTTCTTGATTGCAGGGGTGGCAGCGTGGAGGGGTGCACCCGTCACGGACTGGAGAGAGACGAATGATGAAGGTGGAGAGGAATGGAGAAGGGAGAAGAAAGAAAGAGGAAAAAGAAAAGCAAAACAGCGAGTGTGCAGACTTGTTAGTTCTGCACCGCGGCCCGCCGCTTCGTTTTGGCTTCGTTTTGGCGGCCGCGTAACGCAGAGAAACGCAGAGTAACGTAGAGTACGGCAACGCAACGCGTGTGCGTTTGTGTTTGCGCTCTTCGCTTTTCGCGGAGGAAGCAATGAGCCGGAGTGGCCCACTGTGCGTTGTAAGGCCCACGCTCACAAGGCGATGAGGCGATGGGGCATTTCGGCCGGCCCAAAACAAAACGCTGACGAGACATCTGCCGGCCGGAGAGCCGCAGCTCGGCCGCAGGGCCAGGGGCACCACAACACGCTGGCGACGCTGCACACTGATTTCGTCGCTCTGTCTCTCTCGCACCCGAACAGGACGCCCCGTGAGTGCGAGAGAGACAGAGCGAATGCGCTTGCCACGCTGGCCGTCTCGCCCACACGCCAAGCTCGCCCAAGCCGACCCGCTCCGTTCCGCTCGGTTCGCCCCCAAAATTATATTTTGCCTCGGTTCCGGACTCGGTCATCCGCGAAAGCAGTTATTTCCCCGCGTCTTCATTGGGACTGCCTCCGGAGAGCCGAACGCCCGGCCGAACGCGGGAAAGCCGGAAAGGGGAAAATGGCGGGAAAATGGCGGGAAAATGGCCATCCGGTGGAGAAACTGCCATCGGGGCGTCGGAGGAACCTCAGCAGCTACCTGCATCCCCCTGAAAAAATCAGGCAAATGGCTGCAAAAGTAGAAGATTTTCTTTAATTTGGGGCATTTTTTGGTGGTGTTTTAGTTTTTTTAAATGGGTCTGGGCTGTACCGGCAGTGCGTCAATGCGCGGGAAGGAAGTCAAGTTGGCGGGAAGTCGGCAGCGCGCCGAAGTCGTCTACGTAGTGGCCGCCAGGCTTCCAGCCTCTCGATGATTGGGGTGGCCTCTATCCGGGTCCACTGTCAGAAAGGAAGCGAACCAGATATAGATTTGTTCTCTGCCCACGGGGACGCGGTCGCGGTAGAAAAAGAGGGAGAGAGAGAGAGAGAGAGAGAGAGAGAGAGAGAGTAAAACGAACACCCGCGCCTTCGCCCTTCGTGTCTGAATGTGTATCACACCGTTTACATCGAGTCGACAGTACCCGCTGTTCCACTCGCTGAAAGGGTCCAAACGGGATGCACGCAAGCGTACTATTTCGGGCGCGGGCCTTTTTTTTTCGTTTTTAAATGAAAATGGACAGATTACGAATGGAACTACACTCGGAATCCTGCGGGCGCGGAGGAGTGCTTCTCTGCGGCCGCTGAATGTATTGGCTGGGAAACTTCCACTCCATCATCGGCCGAGCCTGGAGGAGCTTGGAGGAGCACCGGCAGAGCCGCGGCAGAGGCGACGAGTCACGGCCAATGTAATCCCCAATACGCGACACGCGCGAGGCGAGGCGGCGAGGCGCGCTATGCAAAGCAGCAAAATTATTTCCTCTTTTCGGTCTCCGGCTGCTGCTGCTGGTGGTGCTGCTGCTGGTGTTACTAGTGTCGTTCGCCCTGCCGCCGCTCCCGTTGGGCCTGGCCTTGCCGGCTCCGACCATTAGTCCGTCAGGCTACGCAGAGCAGCGCGTGAAAATGCAGTGCAGTTGCATCCTGAAAAATGAAAAATAAATGTCATCTTTATTCGCCTCTTTTTGTTTGTTTGTTGAGCGATGACTGAGATATTGGCATGGCGTGCCGGCGGAGCGAAAATGGCGGGAAACGGTGAGATCCAGTTCGACAGTGCTGTGAAGCCGGTGGCGGCAAAATGGGGCTCGCGGTTTTAATTTAATGTGCGCCGCGCGCCTTCGTGGAGGCCCTGCTGCCCGTGGGCTCGCTCCAACCACTGCGTCGCTCTGTCTCTCTCGCACCCGCACCGGACGCCGCGAGCGCGAAAGAGACAGGAAGCACTTTTCTGAATGTGGCCGGATGCATATCCCGCCTTATTACCGTCAGTACAGCGTAGCACAGCCAAGCACAGCGTAGCGCGGCACGTAATGAAACAATGATGTGCTGCAGGTCTTAATGTAGCAATTAGTCCCGCATAACGCTTTCTGCATTTACTGCAATTACCGTAACGGCGAGCCCAATGTGTAGCCTGGCTTCGGTAGAGATCGACCCAACTACAGACAGACCGACAGAAAGACAGACAGACAGGCAGACAGACAGACAGACTGACAGACAGACAGACAGACAGACAGACAGACAGACAGACAGACAGACAGACAGACAGACAGACAGAACAGACAGACAGACAGACAGACAGACAGACAGACAGACAGACAGACAGAAAAAGATAGGCAGGCAGATAGACAGACAGACGTATTTTTAGTTTAATGGAATGTTTATAACAGGCAATTTGTTTTTGTTTTTTTTTCATATTTTTGCGTTCCTGTTGGCAGATGAGGTTCCGACTAACGGACGCGCGGCTCGAACCGCGGCGCCTCGCGGTGCGGGAAGAGGGGGGGGGGGTCGATGCTGCGATAAGCATAGACAGGTTGTGGCCCAACAATATTACGTCACGCTGCCCCATTGGCTCTCGGACGCGCGCACGCCACGTCCAGGCACGCTCGTTTGAACGCAACTGTACGCCACGCTCAGCCACGCTCAGTCACGCTCAGCCACGCTCAGTCACGTTCAGGTGGCAGACGGTACGGCCACGCTTAGCCACGCTCGGCGCGGAAGCGCGCGCTGCGATGGGCAAGCATGTGCTGACACCATTCCGCTTCCCGCCAGGCCGGCCACGCCGCCGCTGGAGCCACGTGTGCATGCGGACCGCGGGCGCCGAGGCGGACGCCGTGCCGCCGTGCCGCCGTGCCGCCGTGCCGCCGTGCCGCTGGTGTAGCTACACTAATGACGGGGCGAGCGGCAAGCACCGAGCCCTTCCACCAGATTATCGTTTCCCTTTCCACACCCTCCACTGCCTCATTCTCGAACCCACAGCTAGGCACCCGTCCCGGCGCCACAGCGAGGAGACCGGTGGAAGCGGTCAGAATCCCGGACGCGTTGGATTTCTCTCCGAACGAGGAATCCTTTGATGGGGTCATACACTCGGTTCGAGTCCTGTTTAGCGACTCTGGAGCTCGAAAAGCGTCTAGAGTTTTGGCCGCGCCGGTCTTCTCGCCCACTGTGCTGGCACGGAAGGGCATCGCGATGCCGCTGATGACAGGTGGCGGCGGATGGCGGCAGAAATAGCCCGATCGAGGACCTGGACCTCGTGTCCGCGTTCCCGTGCTTCCGTGCTTCCGTCGAGGCTGGTCCTGGTGGGCCGAAACCGTAAACGCGCCGCAATCGGCCGGCGTCGCTGGCGGTGCTGGCGGCATGGCGGCATGGCGGCCGCGCTGCGGGTTGCCTACCCTCCCGACTACAGGCGCTGCCCACTGGCGGCGCAGACCACTAGTGGGGGCCCGGCCAGCCTGGCCAGCCCAGTCGTCCCAGCGCGGCGTGCACGCGGCTCGCGGCTCGCCCCCACCCCTTTGCGAAATCAGCGGGTTTGGCCATCGCGGGCTCGCTGCCTCCAGAATGGCGCTGCACACTTTGCTTGCAACGTCGGCATGTCGGCAGGTCCGGGCGGCGACTGACTAGACCCGGCAAACCAAGCGGCAAGCCGTCTACGGCCTGGGCCGAGGCCTGGGCCGGGGCCCAGTGGCCCATGGGGCACCCTCTGGCCTCGACGACGGCCTCGACGACGGCCTCGACGACGGCCTCGACCACGGCCTCGGGGGCTTTGGCCTTGGGCCATGGCTCCACCCTGCACCCGAACTGGCCGATGAGGCACCCCCCGCGCTCCGCGCCGCAAAGCAACCCTTCTTGACCAGCCTCCCTCTCTGTTCCAGAGCCCGGCCCCGGTCTACAAGCTCATCCTGCACCTGTCCGTGGCGGACGCGCTCGTGTCGCTGGTCTGCATCGCCGGCGAGGCCGCGTGGATGCTGGTGGTGCAGTGGACGTTCGGCAACGTGGCCTGCAAGGTCTTCAAGTTCCTGGAGATGACCGCCCTGCACGGCTCGTCCTACGTCGTCGTCCTGATCGCGCAGAACCGCTGGGTGGCCGTGAGCCACCCCCTGGCCTCGCGGCGACACAACTCGTCGCTGTGCGGCACGGTGTGGGACACGGTGCGCTGCGCCTCGCCCAGGTCCGTGCTCTTCGTCTGGATCCTGGGGGCCTTCGCCAGCGTGCCGCAGGTGAGTGGTGCGCGGTGCTGCGCGGTGCTGCGCCTGCTCCGTCCCGGCGCGGGCATCCCTGTCTAATCCTTGCCGCCTTCTCCTCCCCCAGCTCATCATGTTCAGCGTGAAGGAGGGCCCGTTCATCGAGCCCTACTACCAGTGCGTCACCCACGGCGTGGTGTCGACCGAGTCGGTGCGCATGTACAACATCATCAACTTCATCACGCTGTTCGTGTTCCCGCTGCTGGGGCTCATCTGCTCGTACCTGTCCATCTACTGCACCCTGTCGAGTGAGTAGTGCGGGAACTTTCCTCTCCCGAAACGGGTCGCCTGGTTTGTGGGTGACGGGTGCGGACGTCCGAGTCTTGAGGGCCGATCAAAACGGGCTGGATGCATAAGTCAGTGAGTCTGCCCCGTCTGGACCGGCAGCCCATAGGCGGCCGTGGCCTGGAAGCCTGTCTGCACGCCATGACCCTCTTCTGCTTTGACGTGGCGACGTCTAGCCCTTCTTAGGCGTCCAGCAGACTTTTCGTCGCTGTCTCTCTCGCACTCATGGGGCGTCCCGTATAGATGCGAGGAGGACAGAGCGACCCTCGGAATCAGTCGGCAGAGGCGGCACGCGCGCCACACCCCACAGTGGGCCAGAAGACCGGCGCCGGCGGCAGAAACTCTACACGCGTTTTGAGCTCCAGAGTCGCTAAATGGGACTCGAACCGAGCTTGTGACCCCACCAATGGATTGCGCTCCTAAAGAGGAATCCATTGATGGGGTCACACGTTCGGTTCGAGTCCTGTTCAGCGACTCAGGAAAACGCGTCTAGAGTTTCTGCCGCATGCGCCGGTGTGCACCCCTATCTAATACGCCTTTCTCGTGCCGTTGCAGAGGGCCAGAGGGAGATCCACAGCGTGGACAAGATCACCATCGCGGCGCACGACCAGAACCGGCAGCGCAGCATGAAGCGCGCCATGGTCAAGTCGCGCTGGATCGCCGTGGTCATCGTGTGCGCGTACCTGGTGTCGTGGATCCCCTACTACATCTCCATGCTCGCGCACTTCCTCTCGTCCGGGCCCGAAGTGGTGAGTGCGCTTGCTGCGCTTGCTTGTGGCTGGGATGGTACTTCCCCGTCAGACTCGTGCTTGATTGGTTTGTTGGCCTGCTGCAGCCGCTCCCCACCTCCGAGTGGATGGACTGGATCTTCTTCTTCGGGATGGCCAACAGCGTCGTCAACCCCGCCATCTACGGCATGTTCCAGCTGTGGAAGCCCAAGGCGAGGCGGCAATGGTCCTGCTTTCGACAAAGGTGCGTATCGGCGTGACGCAGCGCTGCGCCTGCGCTCAGACTGCGACAGTGGAGTGGACAGCAGCCTAATGTGGACTGTGTTCGCAGGGACGGCTCCACGCAGTTGACGCAGTTCACGGACAGCTTCCGGCGCCACGCCATGCTGGGTCTGACGCCGCCCGAGGCGGCGGCCGCGGAGCAGGCCCTACAGGGTGTCAACGGGTACGCCAACGGGCACGCCAACGGCGGGGTGCCGCCCCTGCGGCGGATGCCGTCCTCAGACCGGGCGCTGCCCCCGCCGCCCCCGCCGCCGCCACCCTCGGCGCCGTTGGTCGCGCCACCGCCACCTCCTCCAGCCTCCACCGAGGCCACCGCCGAGACCATGCTGCTGGACAGCGCGGCCTCGACCAACCAGGCCGCCTCGCGCGCCCCGGGCGACGCCGTCGTGGAGGTGCCCGTCATCAGGACGAAGGCCGGCCCGTTCAGCTGGCGGACGCGCTTCCTGCGCAAGTACAGGGCGCTGCGGGCGCACTCGGCCCACCAGACGCACATTTGATGGACTGCGAGGACCCCGCCGAGGACCCCGTCAGCGGCTCTAGTCGGCCCCCCGGCCAACCTCGCCGGCGAGCACCCCGCGAGGCAGCTTTGCTGGGCAGGACACTTTGCTGGGCAGTGCCATGGCAGTGCTTTCCACCCAGAACTTACTAGTCAATGAAGAGAGCTGTCGGCCATCCGTCGGCCAGCCGATGGCAGCTCTACTAGGTCACACTATTCGCTGGAGAAGTTTGTGACACTAATTAAACAAACGGGTCATGTTAATGCTAGGAATAAGGATCTCGCACTGGGGCAGTGTCCGTATGCGGCGGGCCCCAGTCGAGCCACACGATCTCAGAACGGGTTTTATGACATCGAATCGGGAAATTAGTATTTATTGTCGTAGCATGGCTTCAGATGAATACTGCTGCATTTCTCTGTGACGCTTGCATTGTACTGTACAAATAATTGAATAAATTGGTGTAGCTCTCTTGGTGTTGAGAAGACCGGTCCCGTTTCACGGAGTCCAAAACTTTGGCCCTGATGCGGAAACGTATGTTTTGTGCATGAGAGTTAAGTTTTGAGTCATAGTGCTGATTAATAGAATTGTAAATATGTAATGATGCAAAAGTCTCTCTATTTCCGGTTGTATTTCTTCGTCACAATGTAATTCTAGGGGTAGGGAGTCGTTCTAGATATTTATTCGATTTGTCTCTCTTATTTAAGATTAATTTCCATTCACCATCTCCATTTGGCTTTGTAAAAAAAGAGGACATGTAGAATGTTCGCAAGCCATACAATGTGAACAACTTTCTGGCATCAAGCTTTACTGTGTCAAAGGCCTAAAAGACACCACCTGATTTTCAGTATTATATGAAAAGGCTCAAATATGGAACTATACATTCCTAGAAAAAGTTTAATTCCACGATGCAATAGTTCTGATGTGATAGATTTCGAGGCTCTGGGTACACCGCGCATTTGCCAAGGCAGACGAGGGTGAGGGTGAGGGTGGGGGAGCGTGGATCAATGCGAATCGCGACCCTGGCGCCTGATGGTTTGGCTAAACATTTCACCATCATTTGGTTCAGATAGATCCCACCTCACCTGTCAACGATGTGGAGAACTCGGCCTACATCTTTTAAATGTCTTATTGTACAGAGTCCTGACCAAAGACAACCCTCTGAAAAAAGCAAGTTGTGAGTTATAATAGAATTCTCTTGTCCTTTCCTGGACTAGCTGCTGTCAAGATCTGCTACTCCTTTCTCCTCTCAAAGCAACATGTTCTCTTTCTATCTAGGTTTTATTCTGCAATGTGGTGAAAAGAGAAGGAAAAAATGAGTGAGTGCATGTAAACGGCAAAGACTGTCTTTGAATTGTTTTGTTTACTTTAATGTATAGAATTTCCTTTCAAATAAAATCAGACAATGTCCACATGTTCCTAGATTGCTACTCTAGGTCTGAATATAATTTGGTTATAATGTGTTTCTAGCTGTTTCATACAGCCCCCATTAAATTTATTCTGATTCTGTGTAAAGATTACATGTATGCTGTGATAAAGTAGCATTCTCAAATCTATTATGATTTCAGTAAGAATGGAGGATAGAGGCAGAAGTTAGTCAACAAATTTTTTTCTCTGCCACTTCCTGTATAAAAGGCAGGCCGATCATTTCAATTTGTCTTATCTGTACGAAAAACGCATTAATCTAACGAAGGCATGAAATAAAACAAAGTCACGATGTCTACAACGCTTCTTAATGTTCTTAATTTGAACCGTGGCATTCCCTCCCGAACACAGCCTATTCCTACCAACCTACATACCTGAACGACTAATCTTCATACCACCTTGACAACTCATTTGATGGGCCAAAACATCTTCAACACTTCAATAAATCTCATTTTATCATTATGCGAAGCGAATTGCGATTCCAACGGATCCATGCTGCCAGAAATCGCATTTGAATTTTCACGCCGTTCTGTTGGCACTACAAGACCGAGAAACCATCCCCCTCCCCTCCCTCACCCACATTCCACTCCTCCCTCTCCTCCAAGAGACACACACACTTCCACACACACACAGTCTTCTCCGACCAGTGGCCACCGGTTGAACGGCGTCTTGACGATTTTGACTTTGCGTAGCGTGTTGTGTTGCATGTTGTTCGGTGCCAGGGACCTCGCCTGCTGTTTGTCTTGAGCAAGGTAAGTATTCGGGCGCATGTCGGTTCCTATTTGTAGGCGCTGTTTACGAATTTTTCGATGTGTTTTGAGTCCTTTGTCGCCCCGATGCTTGTATGTCGGTGCTGGTCGGATCCACGCGATGGAAAGAGCCATCTCTATTTGTTTTCCTTTGCAAACTGAGCTTACGCAACAGTTCGCCCTATTTCGACCGTGCAGCTTGTGCCTCTGTTGAGACTTGCATGTTTTGTGTTTGGCTTTCTCCCATCGAGAGGTTTCGATCTTCGTGTGGTCGCTTTCCGTGCAGCCGACCCGGTCACACATTTTCCCATGGTTGTTGACGTCTGTTTCTTTCTTTCAGCTCAGGTTTAGTCGCCTCATCATGGACTCCATTCCTGCCTCCCCTTTGCCATGTCAGGAGGAAAGGAAGTTCCCCACCAACACAGTCTGCTCGGTAAACCACAATTTCAATACTCTTCTGTGCAGGTGTGTGGAACTTGGTTGATGTTTTCTCTCTTTTGTACGTTTATAGGTGCATATTCAATGGATTGAAAACGATGGATCTTTGTGGGTCCTACTGAGTCCAGAAGTTGAAACTATGGAGTATGTGTCCCAATATTTAGCGGACTGTGCCAATTTTGATGGATTGAATTCCATAGCAGTTGGTGATGTTGTATCTGCTTTTGATGCTGATGATGGTTGCTGGTGAGTCAAGGTATCTGTTAAAGCAAGTGGTTTTTCACTGCATCTTCTTCACTGAACTGCCTTATTTCAGGTACCGAGCTAAAATCTTGAAGACTGACCCATTGACTATTAAATTTATTGACTTTGGAAATGTGGCTCGAGTAACCCCTGAGTTTGTGGCTGCCTTGCCACCTGACCTCTCATTGATTCACGAACTGGTCTGTATAACCCACTCAAATTGGATCAGGGGATGAAGGGTTTGGGAGGAATGATTGTGGTAATTTATTTCTTTTTTTATTACAGGCCATTCATGTTAAACTAGCCCCTGAATCAAATATAATTCCGTGCCTTGGGGATGAGCTTCTAGTAAATTATGTCACATCAGTAAGTGTGTCTCTTGCCCTCACAATAATTTTAGTATGGTTTAATATATTTCAGGACTAATTTAGTATCTGTATTTTTTTCCAGGATAATGGAATAGCTGTTGTTAGTGTTGAAGTACCGGTGGAAACACAGGCGCCGGTTGAATTGGTCGCGCCACTGCCACCTGCTTTACCAGGAGTGGTGGTGACAGAACACATTTCTGACACTGTGCTTAAAGAAACGATGCCAACGGTATCTAGTGAGCTGAAAACTTCTGACGCAGGTTTTGATTTGGATAGTGAAACCAAAGACATTATTTTCGAGTCAAGTATTGATTCAAATGAAACAATTGTCGTCACAGAGTCAGTGACTGCAGATGTGTGCAACTCTATGCAGTCTGGATTGCTTGATAGCAGTGAAGTGTTGGCGTCAGTGCCAGTGGCAACTGTTCTTGCGTTGGACTCAGAGAAGCCACCACAGGCTGCCGATGAGGGTAACTCTATGCAGTCTGGATTGCTTGATAGCAGCGAAGTGTTGGCGTCAGTGCCAGTGGCAACTGTTCTTGCGTTGGACTCAGAGAAGTCACCACAGGCTGCCGATGAGGGTAACTCTATGCAGTCTGGATTGCTTGATAGCAGCGAAGTGTTGGCGTCAGTGCCAGTGGCAACTGTTCTTGCGTTGGACTCAGAGAAGTCACCACAGGCTGCCGATGAGGGTAACTCTATGCAGTCTGGATTGCTTGATAGCAGCGAAGTGTTGGCGTCAGTGCCAGTGGCAACTGTTCTTGCGTTGGACTCAGAGAAGTCACCACAGGCTGCCGATGAGGGTAACTCTATGCAGTCTGGATTGCTTGATAGCAGCGAAGTGTTGGCGTCAGTGCCAGTGGCAACTGTTCTTGCGTTGGACTCAGAGAAGTCACCACAGGCTGCCGATGAGGGTAACTCTATGCAACCTGAATTGCCTGATACCAACGCTCCTCCGGATGATGTGTTGGGTTTCCTGGGGGTCTCCAGCTCGGCAGTGGCAACAGCTGCGCCTGTTGAAGCAACTTTGACACCCATATCAATTGACAAGGAAATTTCTACTGTACAAGGAGTGGCTGCAGCAACTGACTTCCCAATGAAAACAACTCTTCCAACTGCACCAGGTGATCAGGAGCTGTCACTGCTACATCCACCTAAAAAACAGCCTGAATTTTGCTCAGATTCTTCCAAGCCAATTTTTGCTTCACCTGGAGAGCCTGTGGTTGATACATTTGTTTACTCGCCCATGGAAGCAGCCCTGCAGACCATGGCAAGTGGTCAGGAGCTTATAGTGCCATGTCCGCCTCCAGAACTACAAGATGCTAAATCAGATTCTTATGAACAAGTTTCTGTTCTACTAAGAAAAGGTGTGGCTGATCCAGTTTGCATAACACCTAAAGAAAGGAGAATGGGCAGCATTTCCAATAATATTCGTTCTGATTCACCCAAAACAGTTTCTGTACCACCAGCTGTTCCAACTGAAGTAGTTTCTGGATCATCTCTTGAAGATGTGTCTGATGTGATTTCTCATGCCTTTGAAAAGGGTATAACTAAAGTAGTTTCCAACCCGCCGAAAATTGTCAATGGGTCACTTAATAGTGTCCTAAATGCTTCAGCTAAAGCTTTCACCATATCTGAAACCCCCTCATCTCATGGACAGCATGTCAGGAAGAAAGAAACAAAAAGGGATACATCTGAGTAAGTTAAATACCTTCTTTCCTCTTAATTTTATTTTATTTGAGTCCTTGGTTACCTAAACTTTTTTTGTTTTAATAGGTTTTCTCATCACTTTGAGTTGAGTATCATTCAAGAACAACTACGACTTCAAATGTTACAACTTCAAAAGAGAATTGAACAGGACGTTGCCTATCAGATAAATTGTCTTAAGCAAGAAATGTCCAGACAGATTGGACATCAAATGGCAACTTTATTTGCTGATGTTGCTATGATAAAGAACGACATTCAGATGGGCAGATGTAGTGAGCGTCGTCCACCAATGAATTCTGTGCAATGTCAGAATTCAAATCTCTCTACCAACGAGCAGCCCTTCCAACATCAAGCCTCAGCCCTTCAAAAAAATACTCATCAATTTTATGGCTATGAAACTGCAAGTCATCTAGGAATGGATTATTCTTACTCTCATGATCTGCCATCTGAGCTGCAGTCCTTCAAAGCTAATGACAGGGAAACCCACTTAAACAAACTGAAAGTGGTAAGCATCTGTGTGCCTTTTGACTTTAAGTTTCCATCTGTTCGCCAAAGTATACTTGACATTTATTTCCAACAGGACTCTATTGAGCCTTCCACGAGTGAAACGATTGAGAAGCCAAGTGTTCTGAAGTCTGCCTCAAAACTTGTTTATGTAACCAAAATTGCAAAGGTACTTTATACCAGTTTTTAAATATGTTGTTATTTTGTTTCGGTTTTCAAGACAAGTTTTTACATTTTCAGGATGTAACTTTGGATCATTTGTTTACATTGTTTGGTAGGTTCGTCAAATTTTGGAATTGCTGTTTTTTTATCTTTAAAGACATTGATAAAATACTCTTGTTTGGTTTTAGGTCTTTATGGTAATGTCCTAAAGATTAAAAAAATGTCACCTGTATCCGCTGTGATTGAAATGGGTGACCCTGCACAAGCTGATCTGGGTACTTTAAGTTTTGATTGTGTTAAGTATTTTTGAAGTTTTTCAAAGAGCTTATGAGCTTGTGTCTTTCTGTTTCAGCTGTCCGCTATCTTAATTTTGCCCCTTTGAAGGGTTTAAAGCTGCATGTAAACCTGTCCAAATTTTCCACTATTTTTACAAATCGTGAAGACTATGAAGCAGGTCTTGTTAAGGACTTCTCCAAATCAAGGCTGAACCGCTTTAAGGCTGGCCGGATGGATTGGGATGCTGATAAATTATCCCCCCCTTGCAACAGATTAAGAACAAATGTTACGTGAGTGATTAAGGTATTTTCATGAAGTAACTTTTAAGTTGTGTCAACTTAATGATCTTTTTTCCCCCCTCAGGAAATCTACCTCTGATGATAAGATAAAAGATATATTCAAAAGTAAAGGACATCATGTTGCGATAAACTCCGTACCGTAAGTTTCAGACTGCATTGTGTTCACGTTTCCACTTTTCTCTCAAGCAGCTGCTTCTAATATGGTTTGTTTTTGCTTTGTTTTGTATGTGCCTTTTGAAGAGGGAGGACTTCTGAAACAAAGACGTTGTATATTTCTCTCAACTCAACAGAAGAAGCCATAAATGCTTTGTGTGTAAGTTTTTGTCAGTTTTGTGCTACCCAAACTCAAACTACTCCAGATATTTCCTCCCGATATTTCATATGCTTCTTCTATTCCACAGGCTTCCTAGGCCAGTGCCTTGAAACAGTGTCTTGTCTGGAAATCAGTTTTGTTGTTAGAAATGTAATTTTTGTCTTACCATCTGTTTAACCACTTGTTGCAGGAATTGCATTACGCTGAGTATGATGACTGGTCACACATGCACATCACGTTTGCAAGACCCTCAAAATTTTAAGTTTCTGCATCAAAAATCTGTATTGTTGATGCCATTTTTTTTATTTTTTTGAACTGAATTTGTTTTTTTAATAAGCAATTTATCAAGAAAAGTAATTTCTTATAACTGTGTTGTAATTAGCGGATTGCAATTATTTTGCATTATAGATTAAGCAAAGAATCAATTAATCAATTTGTTTGGTATCTGCCGTTCGTATTTAAGTTTGTTTTTTGTAAGCTTCTCATCTTACAATTTCGCATGAAAATATGTGAAGGAATGGATCAGTAATAAAGAGACATTTTTCCCACTTATGGTTTGTCTGTATTTCCAATGCCTTATATAAGTTATTGCTCAGTTATTTTAGGTGTCACAAATTTAACACAATCCCTTCTTACAAACACCAAATGCATAACTGCCTTGAACAACATTACACAGGTCAGTCTAAAAGAGTAATGCATTCATCCCATAAATATTTGGAATATTTACACAATGGTTACACTTGCATCTATTCTCAGGTACCAAAAATGGAAAGAAAGCCCACATTTCCTAATTGAACTCTGAACTTTATAGTTCAAATAATTGAGGCAACACCACAAACATTTTATAATCAAGATATATGTAACCAGTGAAGGAATAATAAAGCAGTACAAGTGGTAGGGTACTCAGCTGCACAAACACAACACGTGTCAACAAGAAAAATAAAAAAAGAAAACATGAAATTAGTGCTGACATTAAATAAGCAGCTTCATCTTCACCTCCCAAAGAGTAGATAGAATTGATTCACTCAAAATGACTTCTAACATCAGAAATGTAAACCATCACATATGACTGAAGTGCTGGTGAACATAGACCCAGTTTCAATCTTCTTCCAGAAATAAATTCATTTAAGGAAATGTCGCTTAAAATTCTGACAGATTTCTCCTTGCGTTATGGGCCAATGACACCTGACTAGAATGGAAGAAAAAATGTGTCCATATTGAGAAGGACACTTTAAGCAACAGTAATGTGGAATGTTGAACATAACTTTTCTCTGATTACTCAATATGGGTGCATGAAATGTCACAAGGTATATTTTAGGCAACGGTAAGGTTGCCAGTAGAACGATCTTAAGTACGCACAAAAGATCACAAACAGAACAAGATACATAACAGATTTCATGTTGGGACAGAAATGTATTATGGGCCAGGGAAAAATAACATGATTTAACAGATTTAAAGAATAAAATGACAGGAGACATTTAGCATAGGGAGTGAGTTAGGATTGAAATGAAGGGTAAGGTGTCTACAGTCTTCTGTTAGATCTACACGCACAGTTCAGACGACGTCCTGACAGGCAAGTACTAATCCTTAAGGGCATTGACTAAAGAAATACAAATTTAATCATGCAATCCATGCTAGGGAGCCAGACCTGGCACTCATGGAAGACCTTGGTCAGAATACTCATAATGCGTAAAAATGAAAAAAAAAACAGAGAATTTTACAAAAAAATAATGTTTAATCTTTCCTTTTTTTAAATTTTAAAATAATTAGTTCAATTGTGGTGCTTATAATAATGATGATCAGGATAGAAAAGTACAACACAGATAAAAATATCAAAACGATAGATAGTTATGTTATACTACAATGATGAAGTTAACGTTTCAGACAGCACATAACACCTGATTTAGGGAGGTGGGAAAATAAGATATAGAGGGAAAAAAGTTCTGAAAAATTCACAATACCCCACATATAATGAGATCAAATAATAATAAATAAATACACAATGTACAAAGTGAGAACATTGCAAAAGATTTCCACTACCAGGGAAGCAAACAATACATTGCCAAGTAACACATAAAATTAAATTATGAAAAACATTAAATAATCAGGATTAACACAGCAATAACTACCAATTGCTTCTCTGATGTTGGCTAATAACAAATATATAGGATATTGGGCATGCTGAACACACCTTAAGGAAACTTCCCATCACAATAAATAACAGGGGAAAATGCGCATTTTGGCAAATCATTTGTACCGGGTGGAAACTTGCCTGGAGGAATCCATTAGATTTGTAGTGAAGCCAAAGCAAACTCCCCTTCTGTCATAACAACTCTGACTAGGGAGGAAAAAGAGAGGGAAAGTCAGAGTTTTTATGTTCAAATAATAACTAGGTTTTTTTCTGAAATTCATTGAACAACACTTGCTTGAGTCAAGTTGGAGCTTTTTGCTAGTTACACATGTAAAAGACCAACATAAAGGGTTTCTATGACATAATACATATGATACATAATATTTTACACAAAGGCCAAACTAAGGGCCTTATATAAATTTGGTAATTGTGTCTTTTTAAGACAAGAGTTCAATGAAACCTAAAGAAGGATAAAATTAATTCATTTTTAAGTCACTCATTCAATAATCACTATGAAGAAATTCACATCCTTGGATGAATGTTAGTCACGAAAATGTGAGGGTACTTAAAGGCCTAGACTGAGATCGATACAAAGTTAGAGGTAAAGTATCAACAACTTATCTACAGACAGACAGAGACACACACACACATGCGCACACACACACACACACACACACACACATATATACCCACACACAGCCACTTAAACTTAGCTCATTCCTATTAATGTGTAAACAAGTATAAATAGAAGTAGAAAGGAGCACAACAAATACGAAATGAAATACAGTTAAATGAGGAAAGAAACAGGGAATGTGATCTCCACTAATGCAACTCGAGCACAGGGAACAACAAGGAAAAAACATCATAACAGCAAAAAAAGGTGAAGATACCCATGATAACTTTCAAGTGGCTGTGAAAAATTCCTGTAACTTACGAACTGTGTTGGCATCAAGAGCACATAAGTCAAAATCAAATGTTTGTTTGGTGATCTCATACTGTCCAGTTTCAGCAATCACTTGCACAACTCTCTTCAATTCATCGTTATTCTCTAAAGTCATAATCTTGCGCTGTAGCTCTTTCAGTTGACAGACATATTCTGCTGTAAATCCTTCTACTTGAATTTTAGACCATTCTGGTGCACATGTTTCAGCAGTATCAGGTAAAGCAGCATCTGGTTCAGTGGTAGTAGAATCAGGCTCTTCATTTGCAGTAAGATCTCTTCTTGCTAACTTTGCTGGAGGCTCATCAGATGATTTGTCCTTCTTCCTTTTCCTTTTCTTCTCCTCCTTATCCTTTTTCTTTTTCTCTTTTTCAGTGCTTGCTCCAGCTTTACTAGGTCTCCCAGGCTTTCGCTTGGTGGGTGTCACATCTGAATCACTACTTTTTTTACCTTTTGCTTTCTTGCCTTTTGTTTTCACAACCAAGGGACTTGCAGGAGACTCTTCAGAAGTGTTGTGCGCCTTCTTTTTAATACTTGGGGGAGACGGAGGAACTGACGCATCTGAGTCATGTTTTATATCCGATGATGTTCCTTGTGCAGATTTCTTGGTTTTTTTAGATTTTTTTGCTATTTTACGGTCTGATAAGCTTGAAGAATCCTCATCATCAGACTTCTTCGCAGCAGGAGAGTCGCTATCAGACGATGATGATGATGATGAATCCCCATCAATATCTTCTAATAGAGTAGAAAGAGGTTTTTTCTTTACATTCTTAGGTGGACTAGGAGATCTCCTTTTTCTCGATTCTTCAACTTCTTTGGCTAATCGCTCCTTTTCACGTCGTTTTTCTTCTTCCCTTCGCATTTTATCTCTCTCTTTCTCCTTTTCTCTCTCCCTTAGTTCCTGTTCTCGTTGCTCTCGTTCCTTTTGCTCAATTTCTCGCTGCTCCCGTTCCTTCAGCTCAATTTCCCGCTGCTCCCTCTCTCTTGCTTCTCTTTCTCTAGCCTCCCTTTCCTCTCGCTCTCTTCGTTCCTTTTCTCGCTGCTCCCTTTCCCTTACTTCTCTCTCTCTAGCCTCCCGTTCTTCACGTTCTCTTCTTTCCTTTTCTCGTTGTTCTCTTTCTCTTGCTTCTCGTTCTCTCGTCTCCCTTTCTCTTTGTAATTCTCTCTCTTTTTCTTCACGTTCTCTTCTTTCCTTTTCGCGCTGCTCTCTTTCTTTAGCTTCTCTTTCTCTTGCTTCTTTTTCTCTTTGTAATTCACGTTCTTTTTCTTCTCTATCCTTTTTTTCCTTTTCTCTCTGTTCTCTTTCTTTGGCTTCCTTTTCTCTCTGAGCCAGTCTTTCCTTCTCTTTTTCTCGTTCAGCTTCTTCTTTACGCTCTTTCTCCCTAAGAACTTCCCTTTCACGTTCCCTTTCCTTTTCTCTTGAAATATCCCTATCTTTATCTTTTGATCGATCTTTTTCTTCTTTCTCCTTGTCTCTATCTTTGTCTTTCTCTTTGTTTTTCTTCTTATGTTTATGCTTATCCTTGTGTTTTTCCTTACTTTCAGCACTGTCAATTTTTTCCTTGATCTTTTCAGAGCTTTCTTTCAATTTCTTTTCAGTTTCCTTTTCTTTTGGTTTGTCTGAGGGCGCAGGTTTCTCACCTAATTTATCACTTTTCACTCCAGTCGAGCTACCACTAACAGGTTTTGGAGTCAAGTCATGATCTTTGTGGCGTTTTTCTTTGTCAAGTTTCTCAACTTTATCCTTTTCACCTTCCTTTACTTTATCTTTCTTTACCTTTTCCTTCACTTTTTCTTTATCTCTATGTTTTTCCTTTTTATCTTCCTTTTCCTTATCTTTGTGGCTCTCTTTCTCTCTGTCCTTTTTGTCTTTCTTGTGTTTTTCATGTTTCCTTTCCCTGTCTTCATTATCTGTATGGCTTGATTTCTTCTCTTCTTTAGAGGGTGGTTTAGAGGGTGTTGATGGTCGCTTTGGTGAAAAGGCCCGTTTGGGTGATAACGATCGTTTTGGAGGTGTTGGTTCCGAACTTGTCTTGAGTGAAGATGAAGATGATGAGCTTGACTTGGATGGAGTGAGTGGTCTTTTAGGTGATGTAGACAGCTTTCGCTGCTCTTTACTTTTATCCCTGTCTCTACTTCTATCTTTCTCCTTTTTCTCATCTTTGTCACGTTTGCTTTCTTTGTGGTGAGATTTACCACTGCTTGGCACCTATGAACAAGAAAGACAGATAATAGAAAATCGGATTGACTGCTACATCAGGACAAACATGATTGTACAACACATAAGTGAAAATGCTAACACAGCAAAAGTTAGGCAGGGAACCATAGAAACAAAAATGAACATAAACTATAAAATACATACAGCCCATTAGCTCATGCAATAATTACTAATACAAAAAAATGGAAAACAAAACATGCACATGCACATATATGCATTAAAATTGATTATTAAAAGATGGTCCTGGTACAAGCAGATTGTTTCTTAGGTTCTCCTAAAGCTGAAATTTGCGCCCATCATCTCCACAGTCTCCCCTTTACCATCCACACTTTACTTTTCATTCTTACCTTCTCAGCTGATAAAGGTTTACTGCTACTGCTGCTGCTGCCCGTATTGCTGCTACTAGTGCTGTTGCCACTACTGCTATTGCTACTGGATTTGGGTGTGGGAGAGGGCTTGCTGCTCTTTTGGCTAGGTGGTTTGAAGATATCGCCATTCGAGGTAGAAGGAGGCCCTGGCCCTGCCGAACTGTTGGAGCTGCTTGAGCTAGAGGCACGCGGAGGATGTGGGGCATGCAGGACATCATCTGAACCTGATCTCACCGTTTCCTGGCCAGACACAATGGATGGATTCGGAAAAGGGGGAAAGAAGTACGTAGTTAGTATCAAGTGCTTAGGCACACACATGCTTATAGGTGTGAAATGTTAAAATGGCAAATGGTACTGAAAAAACTAGACAATAATAATAATTGAAAAGTATAACTAAATTGGAAAGGCATCGAAAGCAATCGACAACTAACAATGATAACGTAATGAAGCAAAATAGTCAAAAACCCTGCAGAATACTTTTTCCCGCTAATAAATTAGGCAATGGTAGATAATGATTTCAGAATGTTTTCCATATGAGTAAATCATTTACTGCTTCAACTGCTACACAGATGAAATGCAACGGGATTTTGAAATAAAAAATTAGTCAACACCAACACACACAGGTTTAAGCACCAGTAAATTAAATGAGCCCTAGAAAAACGGTAACTTAAATCATGCTTGTTAAAAATTGAGAAAAATTTTACCCACATGCAAGCAAGGTCTAAGAATATTAAACATCAATTTCCTTTCCAATATCAGCAAAAACAAATTTCAAATATTGTGAACCTAACAAAACATAAACTAAGAAAAAAATATTTTTAAAGGTACACACCCCTCCTCCACGAATCAGTCTCTTTCTGAAGTCATCAGCTGGATTAACCACTGTATGCCGTTCAATGAGGGATCGTTTAGTGGCCATTTGAGTGTCCAGAATAAGGTCATACTGAACATTGATAGTTTGATGATTTTTTAAATGAACTTCAACAGGAATGATGAAACCTGCATACCCAGATTCTTTCACCTGGTATGGGGGTTCTTTACAAACTATAAATATTTTAGAAAATCAAGATTAGTTATTTGAAAATAGATACTCTTTCAAAGATACAGCAACAGAAATTTCTTGGAACACATTACCTCTTTTTGGCTTTGGAAAGGTTTCATGTAAATGAAAGACGACTTTGTCGACATAATGATGGATTTCAGCACCATCAATACCCCTCACATATACTTCCCAATCATGAGTGAACCCTTCTGGGGAACGTTTGTTTTTAGGGACTGCATCGTGTCCCACTTCAAAAGCTATTTTCACACTCTGCAACAGAAAGTAAAACCAATAGTAAACATGAATTTGTAAGAATACAAATAGAAACAAACACAAGATAACATTGAGAATGAGACAATTTTAAGCTAAAGTGACAGAAAACTTGCATTATATACAGTGAGAACATCGAACACAGTAATCACTACTTTTACTGAGACAAAATGTCAGACTTTTCCACTAATTAGTTTCTTGACGAACACCTGTAATTGAACTAGCTAAGCCAGAAGATATGACGGTTTTCTTTACAAAACATCAAGGGGGAAAATAGCAAGAACAGTCTAACCTCTAAGACTGAGTCATGTTGCCCACGGATTAGTTCAAAACAAATACTTTTAGCATTCTAAGGAACTGCTAGGAAACAATCTTAAATTCGGATTTCGATTGTTGGAAGGGAAATTTACTAATTGGTTGTTTACGTGGATTCAAACTGGATTTGTTGTTTAAGTTACTTAGTAGATTTAGTCTCATCATAAATCATGAAGAATTGATCAAAAGTTTCTGGAAATGTACTTACGGAATGTGCCATTGATCAAGCCGAGTCTAAAACGGTCAAGCACAGACAATATTTGACACTTGCTAGCAAGACTGCTGGGAAATTAACGAATGTTTGGAAAGTGAAACTCGTCGAAATACCACCTTCCATTTTGTTATGACCAATGTTCGTCTGCTGTTGATTGTGCAGGGGAAAGGGTTGCCAACAAAACCACAATAGCGACGTTCGTACTTCCCTCAACTTGCGGCAAATCGCAAATAAACGGACCAGAGAAATCTTTGGGATGAGAAAGCAAACATTCTGTCTTCTACTTTTAATTTTCTGTATCGTAGCAACTAGGTTCTATTTTCTTATATATTTTGCATTGTTGGTGTACTCGGCCAAGAAAAAAACAAGGGCGAGACAAGGGCCCTCGAGTTCAAAATAGTGAGTTTAGCCCAAGACACCACGGGCTGCACATCTCTTTAATTCATTTACAGACATTCAGTCAGGAAGGAGTGCAATCACATGTCAACTGTTCAAACGAGGCATGCACAAATGGTAATTCAGACAAGCCACAGCAGTAGTGCCAGCTGTATAAGCTTATCACAGCTCCTAATTATTTTCATATGTTCGCATGAGCTGGTAGCTAATGGCCAGAGTGTAAGGACAAGTGGAAATTAAGTTATGTTACAATGAGTCATTTTTATAAATTTGATTTTTTATTTGTACAAACAGAATCTTGTAGGTACCAAATTTTGGCTTAGCTTACACACACCTAACTTTTTAGTTACGAACCATAAAATTAATAAAATGAAGTCTAAGTCTAAAATGAAGTCGGTGATAACTTAGAATTTGGGTGAAATCAGATCATTCCTATAAATTAATCAAAATTGAAACATGTTCGATGAATGGAGGAATGACAGTGCTTACTACCATAAACACTTTTTTAGAGAAGTAGTTTTCTGTCTACCAGATTAGACAATATTTAATCGGGTGAATACTCAATCTATGTGTACTTCTTTTACACACAGCTTACAACCAAGTTGTAGAGAAACAAAATAATTCTAATTCAAATACATTGACCTGAAGAAGTCAGCAATTTACTTTTGAACCTTGTTTACATAGGCATCCAACTCTGCGTCTAATTCTTCTGCAGTGGGAACAGTCTTTGATGCTCGTGCACCACCACCTCTTCCTCCTCTACCTCCACGGGCACCTAAACAAAGACAAAAGTGTGTTTAGGTAATGATACACAAGATGGAACATATTACCAACTGATAATGACATTGGCAACTGTCTTACCACCTCGACCCCTGCCAGCACCAGCACTCCTGAAGTTACTGCCGCCGCCACCAATTCTGTTCTGGGGTCTGTTTTGTGTGAAGTTGCTGTTGCCGCCAACTCTGGGGTTGCTCCTTGGGACGGCTGAGGTTATTTCATTGGTTGCCAAGGCAATCTCCATAGGCCGGCCTGTTAAAAATTCCAAATTTAGATACAGGACATAAAAGCTATACAAATTACAGGGCATCTAAAACAATTCTTACCATCCAAAGGTACGCCATTGTATTGTTTTAAGGCTTTTACTGCATCTGGTCTTCTCTCAAAAATTACATCAGCAGTTCCAAGAGACCTGCCTGATCTGTCATAGTGAACAGCCGCTGATTTCAGAGGTCCAAATTCGGTAAAAAGTTCCTAGAAATTGGTAGAACAACATTAAGCACGAAGTGCACAAGCAGATGGCCTACAATACAACATTTGAGATACCTACTTTAATATCTGAATCTGAAACGCCATATTCCAAGTTAGAAACCAAAAGTTTCGTGGGGCCTCCGCCACTGACGATACCACCCCGTCCTGATGACAGCTGACGTCCTGGGGCTCCAGCATACATATCATGTTGCCATCGACTGTTGACATCGCCCTGCAACCAAGAAACGGAATACATTATACGAACAGGCAAGCTAGACAAACAGGAAGAGACTGAAACACTTAACAAAAGCTAATCGGGAGCCAAAGCAGACTAACGCCCAGGGCTCCTCACGCAGTACATTGGCAACAAAGGGGTACAGAAATTAAAAAAGGGCCAAGAGGCGCGGTAAGCTCCACGCAGTCACGCGACGAATTCTAACCCAATTAACAGCAACAGCCAACAGGCTGCGTTGGTTATGGCAATGAGTCACACGCAGCCGCAATGGCTAGCAATGGCGTGGGTTATGGGCAGGGCAAACCAAAACAATACTCACTCGGGCGTATAGGGGACTACGTGCGGGGGGCGCACCAGGCGCAGTTCGCCGCTTCACGATTCCTCCCTGCGCTACTCGGCCGGTGTTGCGCTGAGGGCCGCCTCCACCTCCCCGCCGAGGAAAAGAAGAATTGCTTCTTTGGGTGCCCCCGGCTGCGCCGCGGCCTCTGCGGGCGCCGCCACGGGCCGGCTTGTTTCGCTTGATGATTTCATCAAGACTCATTTCGATTTTGTCGGCCATAGTGGTATTTAAGTTCGACCGCACTAGCACATCAACAGATTACAAAGCTCGGAACACTCTAACCACGCTCAATCAAGTAAAATCAGCCGGTAGGAAACAGAAATAACTCGCACTCGCAATAATGGCTGCTTTGCTTGCTGTGCAGCGCGGCGGCGCGTTCACAAGGCAGACTTGTTGTTCTTCGGCTCGTCGTGGCTTTGGGATACAGATTCAAAAGCCAGGGTTACTTGTCACCAGCAAAACGAACAAAACATTGATTAGCAAAAAGAGACGATAAGGAAAGAACATTAAAATGATTGGTTTGATTTTATCTTTGGTTGATAAGCACCAGAGCAAAATATAAAAATAGTCGGGGAAAAGGGGAGGGGGGTTACCCCCCACCTCCTAAAACACCCGCCTTTCCCCCCCCCCATAGCCTCTTAAGAGACTCCCTAACCGAAACCCCAACTCCTCAAACAGGCGTGTGACGTCACGATGCTGCGAATATACTTCACGACTGCGAATAGGATGTCTGGCCGTGTTGTTTCTCTTCTCGTTTTGGCGAGTTCGAAGGACCGTTGGACGGTTTCACTTGTTTGACAAAGGAGTTGGGCCGTTATGCCGTCGAACAGTCCTTCGAAATGGCCAAAACGAGAAGAGACACAACACGGACGGATCTCCTATTCGCAGTCGTGACGGATATTCGCAGCACGGTGTCGTCACACGCCTGTTTGGGGAGTGTGGGGTGGGTTGGTGTGTGGAGCGAGTCTCTTAAAAAGATAGGCCTCATGCCCCCCGCCTCCTTAACTGTGATATATCAAAGATGGTGGAAGCAAGAGAATCCAGTCTTTCAAGGTTTGTTATGGATTATTTGCGATGGTTTTGTCTGTTCGAAGTGGTAAAGCATTAATCTGAAGTTACGAAATCTTGTAACTTTTTCGCACCAAATCATGGTGCATGTCCAGTCCGTAAGACTTTTGAATCTGATGTGAAAACATAGCTGTTGGTGCAGCAAACCCCATGGGTTATGAGCTGTTCTAGTTAATTTTTTGAATTTTCCTAGATAGTCTAAACCAAATTGTGCTGATTTTAAGAAAAATTGGATTTATCTCTTTTTTAAATAAGTTATTTTCTATGTCTTTGCTTCAGGCTTACATGGTTGAATCGTGTGTTCAACCTCTTGTCATGGTGACTTTGAATACAGTGGTTGGTTACTTTTGTTAGACATTTACTGCCCTTGTGACACAGCTATTTCTCTCTGGTCAACATATTAAGTTTTCTTATCTCTGTATGTCTGATGTTATTTCATCTATCTGTACATTTTAAAGAGAGTTCTAACTATCCTTCAATCCTCAATTTTGAAAATCTGATTCTGTCCTCTTGCGTTTGTCCAAATTTCATGAACAGTGGCTTGAGGTTGTGCTCCTTAAGTATTATATCAGATCCATATCCATCTTTTCATTTGACCTGTAACTGTGGATATTGAACTCTTGATTGAATATGTAATGATCATTACTTATCTGCTGTGTTTTTCTTTCAGTTCTCGGCTTCCTCCTACTGGGGAAGTGGCCATCATACATGAAGTATATGATAGTGAGAATGCCCAGTGGAAGTTTGAAAATGAGTTGGAGCTTGCTCTGGACCGAGGATACAAAATCATTGTTATCGAGCCCTCCAGACTAGGAGATGAAACAGCCCGATGGATTGCTTTTGGAAACTGCCTGCATAAAACTGCCATCATTTCTGGCTTAAGTGCTGTTTGTACTGGTATGTACAATTTTGGCTTATAATCCTATTTACTGCCTCTTCTTTATGTTGGATACAGTAACTTGACTGTTAAATTTTTTTCTAGGTCTCATTTGGGAGCGGCCTTTAGTCTGCACACCTTTAGGCGTCGTGTCCCTTTTGTGTTCTGGCTTATACACAGTATCATGGCAATTCGATCCTTGCTGCAAGTATCAAGTAGAACGAAACCATCAGAACTTGCCAAAAATGCCTATCCTGCAATCTGTGTCTTCTACTTCACCTGTTGTACTTGTGCGCCGAGATGACAGCAGGCGCAAAATTCTGCACTCTAGTGTTTCTGTTGTGGCTGCTTTGTTTTGCATCTGGCGAATTTATTCTTCATATAAGTAATACACCCTATGTGTCCACCAGAGTAGTATTGTGCGATAATCTTAGGGAAACAAATGGAAGGAATTTTGTCCAAAACATATCAAGCATGGCTCTGTACCAACTCAATGTTTTGGATTTTAAAAGCATCCTTAGAAAAGTGAAAGAATAGAGTGCTACATTTAGTATACTATAGATATGTTTTACATCAGTAATGCCATTATATGGTCCCCAAATGCTTCATGGCATGGCCAAACAAAGGATTTGGAAGGGGGTAGTAATCGAGAAAATAGTGGATTGAAATTTAATGGAAATCCCATTTAGTTTTACCCCTGTGTACGTAAATTATTTCAACTGTCATGCTTCTGTTAACTGATGGAACTTGAAATTTAAAGACACCTCAGCATTGATTAGAGAAGATCAGTCTGGCACCATAACAGACAGAGAGAAATTCAATGTAAAACAAAGGAAGTTGAAGTTAGAACATCACATGTCTCCAAACAATAGAAAAAAAATAATTGTAAACCGAGCGCATGAGAAAATCTCAGGTCGTTGTAGTGTACTTCTATTTTATTTTTGAAAAGAGGAAAAAGGAAAAGGGGAAGCTGTGATGTAATGTAGTGGCATTTAGATTATTTTTGTGTTGTGAGCATTTATTGTAGGCTCCAGTCTCCTGTATGCCTAGTTTTCACCTTCCATTTGTTTTATTTCTTTCTCTCTTGCATTTTGGTGAAAATTGTTCCACAAAAAGTGCCTTTCTTTACCATAGTATTTTTGAAGGCAATTGTCAGATTTTTTTAAATTTATTGCTGTGTTACCAAATAGAAACTTCTAATTTTGTTAATGAATTCATGTTAGTAGACCTTGATTTTCACATCATTGGAGCCAGAAAAAATGTTGCTCTTTAAGCATTGGTCATAGCCATCCGTCGTAGGTAGCTGTTGCCCTAAAGGCGTTCTCTTAGCTAAGTTCGAATTATAGTTTGTGATCAGAGTGTTTTTCGCTGACACTCCCTCTTTTAGTAGTGTTTTGCACAATACTGGTTATTGCGCAAAGAAAGCATTGAAGCTCAAGCGTAGTTAAATTGTATTTTTTCCCCTACTTGTTTTGTCATGTTCATGTTGTTTGGCCACCACATTTGTTTATGGGTGGACTGATTGCATTCAGTTGGTGTAATTATAAGGGTAATGGCAACACAGTTGTGATTTAGGAAGCAAATGTGACAACTTATTTTCTTCATGACAAGACTGATCACAGTACCTTAGATACAAATTTGTAAATTGTGGCACAATGTTTGAATGTTGTTGTTGGTATGTTCTGAAAGTAGGCGTTAAAATAATTATTTTAAAGGTATTCAAATACATGTACATAAAAGCAGGAATAAACATAGGTAGCTACAATGTGTCAACTGTGTATTTCTCTCCCCATTGCCTAAAGATTGAGGGCTTTTGGATTTAAGAAAGAGGCATATTAAATTGTGGCAGGGTTTCTTTAATTGGAAGCTTCCCTAATGAGAAAAGCATCACGTTTCATGTTTCACATACTCCATTGGCGTTGGTATCTCTGTTCTCCGTTTGAAATGGCATTAGACACCCTCCTGGTGAGACTTGCTGTTTTTGCGTAGCCATTTCGCCTTCTTAAGGGGTCATCCTCAGACACAAGTGTGGGATATTTAATCCTGTGCCTTGCCACAGACTTGACCGTCAATGCCGTTATGTACAGGATGAGATAAAGGCTGAACCATAGAGGGACGTACCTGCAGGGCAAGAAGACGTTACTCGGTAAAACAAAAATAAAATCTAGAAACGGAAAACGGAGACAAGTGTTTGCTTTCGTACCAAAGTTTGCGCCCTATCAGGAAAGGGCGCGTTACCACGTTGCCGTTTTGACGCCCAGTTTCGCTGGCATCGGCGACGTCCTTTGACTCGCCATCGGCGGATCGCTTCTTCCTGTCCAGGGCTGAGTTTCCGGAGGACTCTGAGGTAGCTGCAAGAATGATGAGACAACGAGCCAAGTTAATAATGGTTCCAGAGCTCCGCGGCGGGAGGTGGGATGCGACTCGTACCTGGAACATGCACTTCTTGGCCACCCTGGCTGTCGTACACGATGACGCTCCCGTTCGCCTTGATTTGATTGTCGGACACCTGCTCCTCCACCGCATACACTATTTTTCTCAATGGCTTCTCTTCCTCGTCCTCCTCCTCCACGGACCTGGAAAAGCGCTCTTTTGAAAACGGGGGCCGAAAGAGGGTGCCCCCTCGAGGGGAAGTCCCAGGCCCGCCCCTTCCATTGGCTTGGCGTCCATTCCGCGCCGTTCTGCCCGTCCTGCGACGAAAACGAAAAAGACTCGGAATCCGTGGGCTGTTACTCACTGAGGGTCGGGCCGTCGTTCCTGGAGGTGCGCGACGGTCTGCAGGAAGCCCACGATGCCGTCCCAGGGGGCGGCCAAGGGGGCGGCCATGGGGGCGGCGGCCACGCAGGCAGGCGAGGGCACGAGGGAAGGCCCTCCCAGGAGCAGCAGCAGGGGCACCAGGCGGGCCAGCATCGTGGAGAACATGTCGAGCACTGCGGTCCTCGGGCGGGTACTGACCACTGCCTCTGCCTCGGGTGGCACTGAGGCGATCACCGATGAAGTAGCGGGCCCAGCAATTGGCGGCCACATGCAAACGCAATGCCCGGCGTAGCCCGGCGCACCGGGACCAGGTCACTGCCCTCGGCCAGCCTCGGCCTCAGGACCGCCCTGCCGCCCTACGTCCCCCACGTCAACGCGAGTCCCGCTGGCTGCCCCAGTTGCGAGGGTGCCTTTGCCTGGGGACCCTCACAGAGGGGGTCCCTACCTTTGCCGTGCCGACGGGGGCAGACAAGCCGTTGCAGCGATACCGATACTCCTGCTGGCCCGAGCCGCTCCCTAAATTGGCTTCTCTTTTCACAGGATGTTCACGCGTCACCCTTTCTAGCCTCTCAGAGGGCACCCCCTGTAGTTTGGCGATCAAACTGTCCCTTTTGGGTGATGATCGAAATGACTTCCGCGATGATGCCGGGTTGCAATTCGGGCAGCATCGGCGAGCTCTGAGACAAGGTGGCAAGTGGGGAAAAAGCAAACGCAATGATATTGGTTTCAACCTTTCTTAATTTTCAACCTTTTTAATGGAATTCATTGTGTAGCTCACAGTGTTTATGTGATATGACCTATTCAATTAAATTTTTCAAATAGTAAAACAGCAACACAATATTCATTGTAATAGGAAGCTGATAAAAAATATATCAACCTCACAATACATCGTTGACCAGTGGAATGTTACAATCACACAGCACACATTTATAAAATGTTGGAGGAAAAACTCCTTACGCCAGTTGAGCTTACAGTGAAAAGGTAGAGATGCAATTCAGATCGAACTTTAAATAGTAAGCTAAGCCTTCGCACTACATCTCATTTAGCCAATCTACTTTCTACTGGTAAGATGGTTATAGGGTACACATCATGAAAAGAAAAATTACAAAAACAGTAGAGGCAAAAGTTTGTCATGGTTCTGACTATGCTCAGAAGAGCCGTTAATTACAGTAAGTACTAGTTCACACACATTTAAAATTTAAACAAATAATAAAAAATCAAATCTTCAGCAAAGCAAAATCTTTGCCGAGAGGATCTATCAAGAATGATTGGACACAATGACCTCTGTTCTGTAGGTTCTCCTTAAGTCAACATAAATATATACCATACAAATGGTAAATTAAATACATTTGGAATGTCAAAGTACAAGATACAGAAAAAATTATTCTTAAATACTGAACTACCACATTCACAACCATCAGTCTAAAAAATCTCAATGGAAAAGTAGTACATTTAATTGCTGCTCATGATTAACCAAGGCAAATCAGAGAGCTCCCAAATGCTAGGATTTCTACTTAAGACCCACAAGTCTACAGTAAGACTCAGAACCATTCTCTCCACTCAACAAAAATATTAAAACAAAATAAAACAAATTGAACAGAAAATTAGCTTAATTAAAGGTCATTTGAAATTGATTTAAAAATCATAAATCCAACACTTGGTTAGTAACCATGGTCCCTAACTTGCCAATCCTTCAAGTTACATTTCTTAAAACAATTTGGACCTTGCGGCATAGCATAAATTAAAAAGACATGCATCGAAAACACCTATAAGGCAGCAAGCTTTGGAAGAGACTTCATACCCGTAATAATAGTTTGAAAGAAATGGACAAACCCATTATCAACTACGGTTTTCATTGAGACAGGAAACAAAACCTTTCCATCTTGAGGTCAATACTACTGATGAGACAAAAATTTTCTGAAGTCATTCATTGTCAACTGTACGGCACTGATCAACAGCACTGTCTTGCTCATACTAATGGCAGGTGACTTTTGAGCAATAAAATTAGAAGGCATTTTTTTTTTCAGAAGAGGCAAATAAATATATCTGCATTCTGGCACTGCCAGAACAAGTTTCAGGTAATTTGAGAATGCTAGAGTCAGACCTAATTTACTTATTTTTCTTGGCAGCCTTCTTTTGTTTAGTGTTCTCTGACTTTTGACCCCTCTTGTTCGATGACTTCTTAGCCAGTTTCTTCAGTTTCCAGATTGTGGTGATAAAGATGAGGAAGTTAATGGCATAAGTGGCGACACAGACTAGGCACAGTGACTTGATGACATACATAAGAAGGTAACCAAGGTACATAGACAAACAGTTGGAAATGAAGGACAAGCTGAGCTGAATGTTCGAGACGACAGAGTTGTTGATCAAACCTGAAAAGTAAATTAAAAAAAAAAAATCAGTTACCAGTTCAATAAAAAATACACTAGAATTCCAGCTTACAGCTGTTTACTTACTCAGAATAGCAAGGAAAGCGTAGAAGAAGATTCCGTAGACGCTGTTGGGCTGGTTAAGGAAGTGGCTCTCTCCAAAGTACTTGGCGACTACTCCGAACCCTTTGGCATGCCTGCAAATAGAATAATATGCAGCCATAAGTAAAATAGAATTTCCATAAGTCTTAACATTTGAAAAGGATCACCAAAGAGGTTGACATTGACAACCCCGGATCAATAGGCACTGGTGAAAATCACTTGGGACCTTCCACATACAAACGAAAGGGATATTTCCTGTCTGGAAATAGTTACCAAAAAGGGAAGGACAGTGCATAGCAAGTCTGACAGGACCAAACGGAACCGGGGAGGCCACCGGCCGGCACCCATTCCACGGGGTGACAGGAGTACCCGTCACTTAACCTAGTCACCTATGAAGAAGACTTGAAAGTACTCACTTCGAGGCAAAAACTTTGGTGCAGCTGATGTGTTCATTAACGTCGCACAACGCCTCGTATTTATCATTGCGCTCGACGTTGCTTTCGACGAAGAATGCGTAATATGACACACCGACGCCCGCGGCACATAGCAGCACAAGGCAAGCGTTCACCCCGGTTAATCCAGCCATTTTCGTTATTTTGACTGAACCAGATGTCCTCAGGGCACAAAAGCCAGCAATGACCTTTCAGCTCAGCGACCAAAGAGCCCTCAAACCCGTCTGACACGCTGGCAACCCGTCACAGGTTCGTGGCACTACAATCTACCGCTTGCTCGACGCCTCCGCCTCCGTCCACCGCAACCGCAAATCTTTGTTTTTCCGTTAAATTTTTTTTTGGCAGGGTCGGTCGGATTAGCTGTGACGCCTTGGAAAATGGAGGGGATTGTTGCGGCTTCCGTGGTTCCGTTTCCGCCTGTCTGCTAATCCGGACCCAAGATTCAGATTGCGATTCGGCACCTTCGTGAACGGACCCCCACAAAGGTCAGAATGGTCAGACTGACACCGCTATTAAAAATCAAAGAAGAGAAAGGTTCTAGCCAGTTTTTAGACAAATTAATTTTTACGCAATTTTGCGTTGAAATTACGCCTTTGCATGTCTCAGAGGTGGAGTAAATCGAAGACTTCGAGAGGTCGTATGGTCGCGCGAGACCTCTAAGCTGCGCGAGTACGAGTTCGAGTGTGATGTGTGTGCATTTCTCGTGCAAATCGCAGGGATTAGCTCTCGCTGAATCAAATGACCCAAGTGATTTTCACGTTCAAGGCGGGGTTACTCAGTGTCACATGATAAATGTACTTATTACGAGAGATTTGGCCATGTATTTATTACGGTGCCTACATGTTCTGAACGTTGCATATCCTCTTTGAGCGAGTGTCTGTCTTGTACCCTACGGAGCGGCCATGTTGATTTGTAGCTAGCAGAACACTTGATGATAATTTCACACCACTAGAAATATTGCAGAATGCCCAAATGCAATCTCAAGACCAGATACATACCTGCCACATTCGCCTGGACCCTCCTCCTCGTCGTTACAGCTCTATTCTTTTATTTTCCGTAAGTATCTTGGACGTATTTCCGTCACCTCCCCCTGTCGTCAGATGTCAGACACGTATTTTCCTCGACTTTTAAGTATTGATTCAATTTGACTTGACACCGCATCGTGCCTGGCTTTGATCACTAGTTTCATCTGTAGAATAACGTTTCTACATCTTGCTGACGTGAATACTTGCCAAGCTGACTATGTCACTTGGTGAAAGCACACTACTATTTCTGTCAAGTGCAGATGGTTAGTCTCTCTGTATTTTACTTACTTTCGCCTATTCTTCAGTGATTTTCGTGCTATCGTCTGTGTACTTGAATGGTAACTTTCAATGTTCTGAATCTATTGTCTCGTTGTTCAGTTCCTCAGAAAGACTAACCTCTGTGAGTCTCACGCCCTCTTATCTGGGCATCTCTTTTCAAGTCTCCTGCATTGTTGTGTTGTTTACCCTAGCGCAACGACGTTTTCTGCTATTGGTAGTCTCCTCATGTGTTTCTTTTCCGTCAATGTTTTCTTCCCACCGCGAGGAAATTTGATCATTCTCATCTCTGTTTATCTTGGATCTGTTGCAGATGCCAGTATTATTTCCGCGAGATACCATGGATACCGCCTCTTCAAATTGCCATGACATTTTTTGTGTTAGCAAATTTCACACTTGCCACATTTATGGACCCAGGGGCTATTCCAAAAGGTATTGCATTCAAGTTTAAATCAAAATATTTTTGTTTCTTATTTTATTTGTTGTGGATTTTTATGAGCAATGATTTTTATCCAGCCCCACCTGACGAAGACAAAGACGATGACCTGCGCTCGCCACTGTACAAAAATATAGAGATAAATGGAATCACTGTGCGAATGAAATGGTGTGTTACATGCAAATTTTATCGTCCTCCTAGATGTTCTCATTGCAGCGTGTGCAACCATTGTATCCACGTAAGTTCTATTTGGCAAGAAATTTAAGTTTAACTATAACTTGAAAATTGTAACTGAGTTTCTTTTTCTCTTTTTTGTTTTATTCAGACATTTGATCACCACTGCCCTTGGGTGAACAATTGCATTGGCCGCCGAAATTACCGCTACTTTTTTTTCTTTTTGGTTACTCTAAGTGCTCACATGGCAAGCATTTTTTCCCTCAGTTTAGGATTTGTCTTATTCAACAAGAATAAGCTTCATGAAATTTCAGTCATTGTTTCTATGATTATCATGGGAGTCATTGTGCTGCTCTTCATTCCCATCTATGGGCTTACTGGCTTTCACATGGTGCTTGTTGCTCGGGGCCGCACGACCAATGAACAAGTGACTGGGAAATTCAAAGGTGGCTACAACCCGTTCTCTCGAGGGTGTCTTGGTAATTGTTTCTACTCATTGTGTGGACCACAGTACCCTAGGTAATGCCCAATAGTTTTAATTGTGTGTTTTAATCATGCTAAGTGGCACGGAACTTATTAAATGATCTTTTGCTGTTTTCTTTGCCTATACAGTCTCATGCATCCCAGCAAGTACACTGGCAAGCGGAAAAAGCACCTACAACCAACTGTTACCACAGTGGAAAATGGTGAAAATCAAGTCAAAACATACATGGACAACAGCAATGGTGTCAGGAATCCCAGCTCCAATGCCTACAATAAGGTATTTCTTCAAAATGTTTCCCTTTGCTATCATTCTCAATCTCTTATTTGTTTGAAGGTTTCATGTTTTTCTCCATATTATACATAAGCAGTAATAATAATAATAATGGGGCTCACCACTGGTTCTAGTTATTAAAATTAATAATTTTATAATTATAGATAAGGGAATTCTCATGCCAAAAACTCCTATTTTTATTTTTTAAAATCTTGTTTACTTTACACTAGCAAACCAAGGTGCTGGGACATTCAACAATTGATTCTGTAAGATGCCCATTTGACATGCTGTTTAGATTTGTCATGGCTTAAAATTTAGGATAAACATTTTGGGTTAATATGTTTTATGTAAATGTTTGAAGTGCTAAACTATTTGAGAATCGGTTGGGTTTATTATATACTTACCTGCTTTGCCTATCAAAGTTGTTAATGTGCATGCAGTTAGTAGTTCCAAGTATCCTCAGAGCTTGTTTAATAGTCATGTGCTGCTTGGACATAATTTTGGACCAGAATCCTATTTAATTTGAAACAATCCTGTTCCTTTGTAACACTATGGCAATGCTCTTCCATTCAAGTTTAAATTTATGGTTCAGAGAGAGAAATGAAAAGGTGTATGCTGTTGGTAACTTGCCATGTAGTCTAGATAGCTTTTGGCCAGATCAAAAGGGGGTCAAGTATGCTGGTAGCCCTCCTCCCCCCCTTTTTTTTGGGTGAAATGCTGTTGAGACCCCAGTTAGCTTTGTTTGATTCTATCAAACAAATGATTTGCAGTATCTTATCATCCTTTATGACTCTGCTAGCTTGTACTTCTAAATTAAAGTTCATATATGTCTGTGCTGCTTTTGAAGTTGGAATTAAGTGTCATTTCTAACGCCCTTCTCTTACTGTCTTCAGTTGTCCCCGGGTCGTGATGGCTCCGACACCGACATGGAGCCCACAGCGTCACAGTCACAGGACTGTGAGCCCACCCCACCACTTCAACGACATGGCTCAAAAAACAATTTCTATCTTCCATCTGTGGATGCATCTGGTCAAAGTGGAGATTCTCCAAGACATCCCCTGCAGTTGAGAGGCGGTTATGGAATACGTAACAGTCCTCATCCTACACCCCATCCTTTGACACAACAGCATCAGCGACCCTCATCAAGGAGTCATACCCCTGATCCACTTTCACCTAGTCCTACCATGCAGCAGAGGGTCAAGGCGATTGGAGTTGCCACACCCCTTGTCATGTCCAGCCCTGTTCGCAGGTGAGCAGCTTATTTCTAGTATAGGAGTTAAAAATGAAAAATTTAAGCCCTTATGTATCTGATGGTGCTGAAACCAACTGAATAATCCGTTGCTATGGTTGTTTATAAGTATGTGGCATGCTCTTGCTCTTTCCTGGCAATTAGGTGGGATTGTATGTGACTTGCTGAAATTTTTCCTTTGAGGGGCATAACTATTAAAGTATTCAATTTATCTTATCTAAATTAAAAGGTCCCAGAAATAATGTTTCCTCTGAAGTTCTCTAATTTGTCTTTTCTTATACCGATTGAGGATATCCCCTTAGCGAGCTCATTATACACTGGCAAAGTTTATTTCTCTTCATCAGTTTGCAATTGCCTGTGTGTTCTAAGTTATGTTGCGGTGAAAACACTTGGTTATTTTGCCGTATTGCATATTATTTCTTTCTGCTGAGAGTGTAAATCATTTCGGCATGTTTCACAGGTGACAGTAACTTGGAACAGTTCGAATCAAGGTAAAAAAATTAGCCAGCCAGTTTGGCAGGCTGTGTCAAAGAGGCCATGTTGCTTGATTTGCTCGCATTGTGTCCATGTAGATTATTTCATAATCTGGGTGTTCAGGATGAGGTTAGCTAAAGTTCCAGGAATGTGATTACGGATTGCCCACAGAAATTGGTTTTCTAAAAAGTTAATATAAGCAATTTTTTTGTACAGTATCAATTTTCTTTGCTTGGGGTAGGATGTTTTTGATAAAATCTGTGGAGAAAGGAAATGTCAGGTTCTAATAAAGAGTTGAATTTTTCTCATACGTAGATTTTGAAGTTCTTCCAGCATTTATTGTAATTTGTAAGATACTGGATTATCATTCCTTGTTCTTTGTCTCTCTTTCAATTTTTCAATACTTCAGTAGTATTTATGTGAGTGTGAATTACCTACTGTTGTCTGTACATTGTACAACTAAGGTGTCTCCCTATTGCTACTAATTTGGTTCAAAATTGTTATTGCTGCCAACTTAATTTTTTGATTGAGCTTGGTTATTTTCTTGTTCTTTTTTTTATTATCTGTATTTGTAATTTATTATGTAGCTGCAGTATTCGCTATTCTAGAAGTAGTGTATATTGTTGTTATAAAGCTGCAGTACGCTGACTTTTGCTAAAGAGCAAAACACCCCCTTTTTCTCTGCAAAAATCTTTGGTTTATTACTTTTAGGATTTGACTCTTGTGCAGTAAGCAAGGTAAAGAGTGTGAGATCCTATTCATATTTTTAAAAATTATTATTGTATCAGCATTGGACGTTGGGACTGCCTTCAGCTCAGTTTACCTTAACTACTTTTCACATTTTCATAAAAATACCCCCCCCCCCCCAAAAAAAAAAAAAAACGTACTGCTCCTTTGTTTTTTTTTTTTTTAATATTTTTTGATGTCACTGTTTTGCTAAACGTAATTAGAGGCAAGAGGCTTTTATAATCAGTAGGTCAATGATGACTCCTAGTCACAACTCTCTTTCAGTTTTTAAGAATGATTCAGTATGTTAATTTTTAGAAATGTATGCCTGGCACAGTAATATATGTTAAAATGTGTTTAGAATGACACAGGCCTTCTTTGCTGACGCATGGTTATCACTACTGATCTCATTTATAGTTAACAGAATGCTTCTCAATTCAGCTTTTTCAGTGGACATTTACTTAATGGAATTTTGGGTCAAAATATTTGCTTTCAGTCTCTTTGTTCTAATAATCTGTATGATATTTGGTACCGGCTATGCGAAGCAAAGATTCCATGTCTTAAGTCTGTTTATATTAATTATTGTATGGCTTCTTGTTGTGCTCCCAGTCCTCATTAATGTATCTGCTTGTTTCCTGCAGGTCTAACCCAGGCACACCAACCCAGGCTCGTCGTCCAGACTTCATTGGTGTTGGAGGGGCTCCACCCATGTATTATGAAATGCAGTCGCAGCCCATGGTGCATCAGGGTGGACCACCACAGGGATATGCTCAAGCCAACTATTCTCAGCAAGGGTATGCTCAAGTTGGGTACAACCCAGGGGGCTATGGGAGTCCACAACGCCGTTTCCTGTCTGAGGGAGAGCTGGTGCGACAAGGAGAACTAGCAGCATATTCTCGCGCCAACAACACCTCCGACAACATCCGGGAGCTGGCCGGCTCTCCTCAGCGAGGTGTGTACATGTGGAAGGATACACCATCAAATAACTATGCTCAACATCAGCCACAGCAGCACCTCCAACAACAACAGCAACAGCAGCAGCAGCAACAACAACCACAGCAGCAGCAAGCTCGCATGCCTGGACCCTCAGGACCTGGTCCATATGACTACTATCGATCAACACCAACGAGTCCAACTCAGCAGCAACCTCAATACAGACCAGCACATTACCCGCCTGTAAGAGGCGGTGTGCCCGTGCTTCCTCCTGCACAATCACCTCAGCTCAAGCGCAAAAATATGGCAACTCCGACCACTCCTACCTCATGTGATGCTCGCCGTAGGCCCATGTCATTTGTTCGGGCTTTAGAAATGTCAGACTCTATGGAAAACAATTCAAATACTGCTGGGACTCCCCGCACTGAACACAGGCGGGGAACCACACCCACTCCTGACAGAGCCAGTGTTTATGATATGAACTACGAGATCTCAGTGTAACACGTTATGACAAGTCAGCCTTACATGTGCAATGTGTCCAGTGGTAAGCTATGTTGTGGCGCAATCTCCATATTTTTATTCTGAAATTATTTTACATACCATATAGACTAAATATTATTTATTTTATCTTTGTTTAGTTTTTTATGTGATTCATGGACATACCGGATAGCAGCAGAATACTGTATCATACTGTACAAAAATGTGTCCCACACCTTGAATGAATATATCTTGCCTTCCCACTCTGTACATAATTAAAATTAATTTTTAAAGTTGATGTGCAACTAATGTTGTGTGATTATTAATGAAAAACAATCTGTACATTTCTTTAAATTTTTGCAACTAATGTTGTGTGATTGAGATTTGTAATCAAATGATATCTGTACACTTAGTTCCATAAAATAAGTGTTTGTAGCGAGCCAAGAAACAGTAATCAAATGTCTGATTTTTAAAATAAGAAATGAAATTATGTATGTTGATAGTGACTTGATATGAAATGGTCTTATATTGTGTTCCTGACTGTTTTTCCCAAACGGTTCCTCCTAGATAATCATGTTTATCCTCCGGGTAATGTTGGTTGATGTCATCTGAAATGAGTGAAAATTTTACGCAATTTGCAGGTTTTTAATGAGACAAAATGAGTTTTAAAGAAAACAATTTGACCCTTGATTGGGGAGACAGTACCTGGATTTCTCTAGATTAGTAATGTCTGTGTTTTTTTCCTTTTTGACTCCCATTGTTTTGATGAGTTTGTGTGTATGTATGAATGTATGTGTGTATGTGGGTTTGAGTGTGTGTGATATGCATTCTCTTACTAAACTGCAAGTTAACATTGACATCCAGTGCCAATGTTACGTGACCTCATACCAACATTTCAAAATTTCAATACAGATAACTGTTGTCATTGGTAGTTTTAATTGTTTCATCTCTTGGCAACTGTCTGTCTGGGCTCAATTTGCCTGTTTGGTTGTCAGTTGGCATTCTGCAAAGTTTTACTATTATATGAATGCCCTTTTGACAACCAAAAGAAATAATGGAGATGTTAGTTTGAGGCTGACTGGCATTTCTTTTGTATCTCATGACAAATGATATAGCTCCCAGCCTCATTTGTAAAGCAGGTTTTTTCACTTGCCAATATTTTAACACAATTAAGAATTAACAATCGTCTCACAAAACTTGCTTTGTGGGTAAATGGTTTTGTAGTGTGACGCTGATCTGAGTGATAGTTTTGTTATTATTTAACAGCCTTTGTGCGATGAAGATGACGTCAATTTTGTGAGATGTGCTGTTTTATTCCCTGCTCTTCAGTGATGGGTTCTATCAGGGAAGAAACTAATGGAAGTATTGTTTCTTTTCTTTCTTGTTATGGGAAAAACTTTCTAGGAATGCTTGTGTTAGTGTGTTTTGCCTGGTGCCAGATATTCTCTCTAGTCAGGGAAGAGGGAGCAAATATGGGCTGAATTATTAACATTTTTTTAAAATTTAAATTTTTATTTTACCTATTGAACTATTGTCTCTTTTCTCTTCATCCATTAATGTACAATCTTTCCAAATAAATGTTTTGTAAGGAAATAGTTGTACTCTTGCCAATTTCACTCTCCTTCTTGACCTGCTTCCTCCCAGTCAGTAAAAGTGCGGAGGGTACAATTATGGACGAGTGATGACAAGTGTCTCTCTCTGTCCGAACAGAACTAGCGCTAGTTTGTCCCTTCTGTTCCCACGTTTAACTTTCGCGCGGCTTGCCTGTGCAGTTTAACCAACAGCCCAAAGCAACTTTCGAAGATTAAACTTGACTTTTCTTACAATTCAAACGTTGTTGTGATAAGAAAAGTCCTACGAATGACAACACATCAAACTTTGTCGTATAATTTACTACATTTTTCGATGAATTTAGTCCCTTTTCTTGGTCACCAAACGGTGTCATATTGGTCATGTGCCATTCTTCATCAAGAAGAAAAGAAGAAGTTCACCGTAATTTCAGGACGATTTCTGTCAAAATTTAAGCATTTTGCGTTTGGTTTGTGTTCGCTCATAGAAACTCAAAAGTGAAGTTCTGTGTTCTTAACGTGCTGTGACTTGCAAATATGGCACGATTCACTTCATTTACGATCCCTCAAGGTCAATATTTACGGTCAAAGTTCGAGTTTTGAGGTTATGGTCTTCCGAATATTTTGTCAGGGTGTCGAAGATATTTTGAACGAATCTTTTGAATTCGAGAGCAGAAATGTCATCTCAAGAAACATTAAATTTGCCTCACATTTTGAAGCAATTGGAGTCCACTTCTTCTTCAGTGGCATTTAGGGGACTTCAAGAAATAAGGTTTAAAGTACTGAAGGCACCCAATGGTGCCCAGCTGTTCAAGCAGTACAATGGCCTCAAATACCTTTTTCGGTTTGTGAGAAAGCCCAATGAAAAAATCCTTGATTTGACTCTGAGTATATTAGGCAATCTATGTTTAGAAGATGATATCAAAACTAAGGCAAGTAAATAAAACTATTGTCATTGTTAAGAAATATTTATATAATTTGTTGGACTTCTTTTATTTCTTTTGCGTACTTGTCAAGACATGGTAATAGACGGTTTACTGATCTTGCACTTATTTTATTGGTCTTTTTTTGGCATTTCAATATTTTGAAACCTTCCTTGTGTGCTTTCAGGTGGCCGAGGAAAATGGATTTATAGCCCACATTTTAAATTTGATCACACACATGCAAAAGGATAGCATTATTGGACGAGCTTGTCGTTTACTTGGGAATCTAGCAACTAACCAAATTATAGCTGTCACATTACATCAAAAAGGTGCTGTGCCAAAGTTAATTGAGTCCATTAAAAGCAAGGATACCTCACCTGGAACCAAGCACATGGCTGTCAGAGCTTTAAGGTTTGTCATTTACTGTCTTCAATCTTTCTGTCTTCCAAATTCTTGCTCTTTATCCATAATTTTTGAAATTGACAGATTATTGTGGGAAGCAGACTCTAATAGGAACAAAATGCTTCAAGATCAAGTGGTACATACAGTAGCAAGTCTTTTAAGTACACCAGTTGATGAACTTCTTCAGGCTGTCTTGAAAGCTTTAGGGAAGTTCACTTACAAGTGTTCAGAAAGATGTGCTTTGCAGGTAAATTAAATCAAGATAAATCTATGTATTTTTTTAAAAAAAAAGATCAATGTTTTTTAAAACACATCTGAGTATTTTGTGTATAGGTGCAGGGAGATGGCAAAGGTTTTGAGGAACTCATTGCAAGCTTGAAACAATGCTCTAAAAGTGAGCTACCTATTAGTGTTATCTTAAATTTATGCTTTGTGTCAGAAGTAAGGCCATTACTTGGAACTGCAGGAGTTGTTGAGGCAGTCCTTAGTCTTGCAAGTGACACCAGTGGCCATAAGTTTTGTAAGTGTTCATAAAAATTGCATTTTTAATCATTCTGACATGTGTAATTTTATCTCATCTAATTAAATTGGTCTGTGATTTGGGTTTTGCAGCCTCAGACATTGTATCCATTCTGTCTCTCTTGTGTCGAGAGTCTGTAAACCGCAGTAAAATACGTAGAAATGGCGGTTTGGATGTTCTTTTAGATACCTTAAAATGTGGATCCCATCCAAATGTGGAGGCCAGGGCACTGAATGCAATGCTTCATTTTATTTATGATGAAGTGGGGCTTGAGGTTTGTCCAATATGTATACAATCATTTGTATGTTCAATATTAAAATTAATATGAGGGAGTAACATATTTACTGTTCTATAATTTGACAGATTTTAATCAAGGAGGGTTTAGTCCCAGTTCTTGTTAACAAGTTAGTCAAAGTGGTAGATAATCATGGATCCACTCATGTTAATCAGAACCGGAAAGGGGGGATCTCTACTCCTTTGACCCCTCACAAGCGCATGCGCTTTTCTGGTTCAACAGAGGAAACTCCTTTGTATTCATATGACAATGATCCTCTTGGACTCAAGTAAGCTATGATCATCGCCTTTGTTTGTATATCTCAGTTTAAATCATTTTGTATAATGTTCTGATACAATATTGGATCTTGCAGAACTCGAGAGTTGGCTTCAACATCCTGTCGGACTGATACAAATACTCTCAGTGGCCATTGGAGCCCTGGAAGTTCTAGAAGTGTTGAATTTTCACCTGATACCACAAGAATGTATAGCCCTCCTCCACTGAATATTAGTTGTAGTCCTACTTCATCAGCGCTTTCTCCTGCATCACAATCCTCTCCTCCATCTCCGTTGTCAGATGCCTACTCGCCCGTTTGTGGATATAGCAGTAGTGAGGATGAAAAGCCAGACGACACAGATGCTGAAGTAACGGTTGAATGTGAAGTAGACTCTGATTGTGAAGTAACCAGCCCTCATCTGTGAGTAAATGTGGATGATATCATAATTATAATAGTTTTGAGATAGGGAAATTCTTACAATATAACCTTATTAATACTGTAATAATAATAATATTTCAGGAAGGACAAGGATGATGTTGATGATATACAGGATGCATTGAGTGCTAGCCTACCGTCAAATGTTACATCTAGACATGGCTTGGTGGAAAGCTGGTGCCTACTCCTCCTATCCAGGGTATCACATATGGACTCCCTTGTTGAAGATATGGTGTCAAGTAACACTTTGGACGCACTATTGCAGTATTATACATTGTTAGATCCTCCACATCCTCGAGCAGCAAGGATTCTCCAACGAATTGCAAGGTACCTTTGTTATAAGCTGCGTATAAATGAACAATTCTTTTTACATTGTATATTTTACACTTTTTTTGTTTTTGTTTAGAAATCATCAATATCTTGTACCCCTCTTGCGCGCTGGGCTTGTTCTGAAAGTAAATGCAAGATTGACAGGGAGAATCCATGATGGCTGTTCCCGTTGTCTTGAGTTTGATGGATTGGGTAAATCGTTGCTATCCCAAATCTCTGTCATAGCAGAATCTGGATTTGGTGAAGGGGAAATAGCACATAGTCTCATGCGAGCCACAAGACCTGTTCAAACCTTTCTCATCATCAGTATTCCATACATTATCAGGTATGTATTTAACTACTTCTGACTTAAGATTTTCAAGTTTGCTAGCCTTATAGGATCTTAGACAAATTGATTAACCCCCTCTTTTTCTATTATTACTTCAGGAAAAGAAAACTGATGCACCTTATGATGAATTGCAAAGTCAATGAAAAAAGCGCCCTTGATTTACTTTTTCAGTTAATGACAGATGAATGTGGAGATGGACTCTCATCTGAGGCTGTCAATAGTATAAGTCGACTTGCTCGGCAGATTGGTGCCTTATCAATAAAGACGCTTAACCTTTCAAACTCCCAATTATGTAAACGGGGTGCAAATAACTGCTCTAAAAATATACTAAAATTTTCCAGTGATGAGTTAAGTGCTGATGTTGTTGTTTTGGAGTTAGATAATGGAACTTTTGTTTCAGTTAGAAAAGGAGAAATGTGTGAAGAATCTCCTATGTTTGCAGCTATGTTAACAGGGAGTTTTTACGAGTCAGGACGAGAGAGAGTAGCTATTAAAGATGTGTGCAAAGAGAACCTTTGTTCTGTGTTATCTCTTATGCGGGCCCCAGCTTGGTGCAGGTGCTGTTTGATAGATCATGACACTAGTTTTGCATTTGAAGTTCTTAAACTTGCAGATCGTTTCATACTACCTAAGGTAGTGAATAAAGTAGCTGATTGGTTATTAACTCAATTAGCCCCAGATGTCATACCATTGTTTTACTCACAGGCTCAAAATTTGAGACATGTTCTGTCAATGAGTGAGAAGCTTTCCAAAGAATCTTTACAATTCGCCTTGTCTGAAGATATAGACCCAAAGAAACGTTACAAAATATTTTCTACAATTTTAAATTCAGAGCTGAAAGAACAGTTCATTGAAGACCTATCAGTTCTTCTCAAATTTCACTTGGATCAGCCACACCAACTTCATTAAAACACATCTCCATGTTGTAATTTTTTATGAGCTCTTTACTGTTGTGTTCTGATTTTTTCTTTTTTTTACAATCTTCTTATTGAAAGTATGATTTACTTTTCTGCCTGTGATTTCTTTTTTAAGTGTTATCCTCTGGTGATGATAGTTTCGATTTTCTCTCACACTTTGTTTCTGTGCCTAGCTGTCCTGTCATATTGAAATATGCATTTAGCCCAATGTGCACATTTTATCTTGCAGCTGGGATTTGTGGAACCAATCAGGTGAATTTTTGTTTTGGGTCTCAATCCTTGTAAGTTCTGTCTAGTCATGTCACTTAATAGTAATTGTCTGTTTCTTTGATACATCTCATGTTTGCCCCATCAACCAGTGAATTACAGGGTTTTTGTAGAAGTAAATGATAATGTGATATGCAGGAAATTTCTAGCTTGCAACTTGCTTTTCCAGTTCCCTAATTTCTCATCTTTGAACTAAATTGAAAGATTGCTGTTTTCAGCAGTAGAGGTGAAGCACCTGTGACATTCGCTGTGATGTTAGCTATTGGATTTAATTAGAAGTTTGTTTTTCTAACAAGTGGTTTGTCTCCAATGTTGAAGAGCAAATTGTGATATGTGTGTGATCTTTTGCAGTGGCATTATTTTTTTTTTTTAGAACTTGGTAACATTTGTACTTTTATAATTGAATAAAATGTTGCTGTCTACACAATGAATTTCTGTATAACATGCATTACTTACTTCAAAGCAATTGGAATAAATATACAAGATTTATTTTATCGTACAAGAGAATGTCTACCTGGCTTCATGAACCCTTCACCTATTCAGTACCAGGAAACTTCTATTGGCAAACAACAAAATAAAAATGATTCATGGAGTAAGGTAGACATATACATTAAAAATTGATGATGATTAACAATAAATATATGAACATGCAATGCTCAGATGTTACCACAAATCTCAAGAGTCTTGTTGATTATCCTTTAGAAGGAGACAAACAAAATTTTAATTTGGAATGGCTGATAATCAATTTCATTTCAACATACTCTGAAATTGAAACTTATTACCACAGTACAGGTTTAATACTGAAAAATTTCCTTTAAAGGAAACAACACCAAGGTGTTGTCCTGGTGGTTATTTCTGCCACATTCCCATGAAGGAAAGTCTTATTTCTCTGAAAATGGGGCCAAGAGAACAATTTTTAATGCAAACATAAAATTATGTTGAGTCATTGCCTATGGGCTGGTGATAGACTGTGCTGATAAAAAGTGCCTTATCTTTGTTTTGGGTAGGGTGCTGCTGAGGTAAGGTCATATGCTTACTGCTTGGTAGGGATAAATTTGTACATACCTCCGATTTCTTGCCTGTTTCTCTAAATCAGCTGCAACTGAAGCTGCTCTAATGAGCAAACGTTTGTCTAAATTGGCTAAACGAGCCACATTGATTCCATAACTACGATCAGCAGCTCCTCTAACTACCTCGTATAAAAAGGTGAGAAATTCGGCTTCATCTGAAAGGAGTCAGAGTACATAAATAAACAGGACAATTCTCTTCAAATGCCTTCATAAGCCTTGTAAATACAATCCAATACCCTGATCATGCAGGACAAAAGCCATGTGATAATTTGAGGCCTTTCCCTCCAACTCATTTGCAGTATCCATGACTGAAGGGTAGTGGGTAACAAATAAGGAGAGACACTGAACCTGAAAACAAGGAGAGTTACAACAATTCTGAACGATTATTTCATGAGGGATAAAATTTGAAGTGAAAGGAAAATGCAAACCTCCAGAGCAATATGACGTAAAGTAGCACATGCAATAGCAGATCCATCACATGATCCTGTTCCACGGCCCAGCTCATCAAGTAAAACAAGAGAATGTTTAGATACTTTACGCAGAATTGCTGCTGTCTCATCTAACTCAACCATTAAAGTACTTCGGCCATTGAATAATTCATCACGTGCACCCATACTGCGGAGAAAAATGTTTCATCAAAAATAAAATAAATGGACAATGTCAGAAACAATTTAAAAAGCTCAATAAAGAGAATTACCGGGTAAAAATTGAGTCCAGCAGTGAAATTTCTGCACACTCAGCAGGTACAAAAGAACCAACATGAGCTAGTAATGCAATTAAAGCAACTTGGCGAATGTAGCAAGATTTTCCACCCATATTTGGGCCTGATAAGACCATGCAGCATTCCCCTGAGCTCTGAACAGACAAAATTTAATACTACAGGTGCACCACATGTACTACCATTCTCCCTTCTTTTGCAAAGCTTACATTTAGATGCGTGTCATTAGGTACAAATTGCCCAGCACTGGTCAAGAGAAGTGGAACAATAGGGTGCCTGCCTCTTTTAATTGATATTTGAGAACTTTCACTTTCTAGGAGTTTAGGTCTGCAAAAGAATAGAAATGAAACAAGATACTTCAGCACATGTTGGGAAGGACTTGTTATAGGTATTACATTAAGAACATACTTGCAGTAGCCTTCTTGTTGGGCAACATGTGCCAATGATAAAATAACATCTAAAGTTGCAATTTTGTAAACCGCCTGTTTATGTTTAAAATACTGCTGACTGAAATCCTGCAACAGGCCGATCCATGCAAGCTGGCATTCTGCTCGTAACATTTCCCTGAGACGTTGCAGGTCACCGAATAATTTATCAACAGCGGGAGGTCTGTATCTTCCAACTTGTTTAGTGCTGCATAGAAGAAAACAGACATAAAATTATGAAACTTACAAATGAAAGAAATACACCTGTGGATTCAAGGTACCTGCTGATTTTCCTCCAATTGGCTGGTACACTTCTTGAATTATTATTTTTAACTTCAATAAGATATTCTTGCCCAGATACACACGAATACTGAACAGAAAACAAAGAAAGCTTCTTGGCAATTTCTGGTTTTAGTGCATCGATGGCCTGAATGGTTTCTTCAATCTCTCTCATTAACTTCAAAACATTAGGAAATGCAGAAAAGTCCTTCAACAATTTGGTCTTATCTCCATCTCTAAAATTTAAAATGAATAAGATACATATTAAGGTTGAATATTATAATGAACAGGCATTGGTAGAATCGGGAATAAGCAGCATGATGCAACTCTTACTTAGCAGCGCTAATAACCATATTATCTCTGTATGCTTGAACACCATCAAGTAAACTAATAGCGTCTTGAATGGCTTTCAACAGACGTGGCACTGTTGTATCTTGGTCTAAAACAGCCAATAATGATGAAAAGTCTGAAGTCATACCACATAATGCATCCAGAATAGTGAAGAATTGTAAGGGGCTACACTGGAAAATCATAAAAAGATTCAAATTGTGAGAATAACTGATAAAATTACTTTTAAAGGTTGAGAAAAAAAAATGAACTGATCTATACATAGATAGATATACCTTATTATGCAAAATTGTAGTCAATCCTTTTTCAATGTCTGGCAGACAACCCAAAATATTTTTTAACTGAGTAATATGGGCCTGATCTGCACTTAGGAGTTCTTCAATACATTCCTGTCGCTCCTCTAAATCTTTTTTCACCCTTATAGGCTGTGACAACCATTTGTGTAACAGTCGGGCACCAAACTTTGTCTTGGTATGATTGAGAGCCCAGAACAAACTCCCATGAGTAGTTCCAGAGTCACTGGTAAATATTTGCAAATTTCGTATTGTTGAAGAATCCATGTAAAGGAAATCTTCTCCAGATGGTAACTTTTGAAGACTAGACAGACAGAATTTATAAATATGCATGACAATACATTATAAAAGACAAACAAAAATAAATAGATTTGGCACTGTTTCTCTCACCCATCCAGTCTGATAGCCCTGTGAAGACCAAACTCATTTAAATGCTTCTGTGCAGCTGCTAAACAGCCCAACACAGCAAGTGGTAGTTCTGTCAGCTCCTCAAGAGCTGCAGATTCTGCCTTCCCATTATCTTTGCTGGTAAAGTAACCAACAACTCGAGTTAAAGCATCAGTGGTTTCAAACCAATCTGGTGGCAACCTCTCAATTCTGGCATTACTATAATAAAAAATAAATGAGCAGTATTGCTTGAGTAATAAATAAATCAACTCCATAACAAGGTTAATATTGAAGATCTCTTTACCTATGATTCACCAATCTTTCACTATCTGCAGAGAGACTAGTTGGGCATAGTATTTCTGCAGGATTCATAATTTGAAGCCTCTTGTGAAGCTCCTCTCGAGTTGAATTATCCTGGAATTGCTCATAGCTGCACTCCCCTGTTGAAGGATTTACTGCCTAGAATGGTAACAGAAAATGAAAGATGTGTGCCTTATTCCATTTTTAAAAATCCATTTGCAATAATGGCAGTTTATGATGCCAGATCTTTCTCTGACAAAAGTAGTAACTTACGACAAAAACTATATTGGATACTTTCTGATCAATTTTTTCCTCATAAAAGCAGAATATATGACCAGCAGATATTCCCTCACTTAAAGTCTGTTGGTCAATAGAATCAACATGTGAGTGAAAATTAAGGAAAAACCAGTGACATGATAATTTTACAAAACAGCACACTTAAAAGGAAAACAAAAAGCTTGATAAAAGGATATCTTCCCCAATTAGAGTTGCTCGTGTGAAAAGGTGTTGAAGTTTGCGAGTAAATGGAGCACTCTTATTGTCACTCATAGCTTTGAGGGCAGCAGTCTCCACCTGCTTCACAATGCCAACTTTATGACCTGTTCACAAAGAAATTAAATGAATTATGGAATGAATGCAATGTAGTAAAATAAGATTAAACCAAAATAGGTTGAAAACTTAGAAATTTAACTAATTGCATTGCCAACCAGCTTATTACCCTTTTCCACTAGGCGGCCGACATGTGCATGTAGGCGATGAACAGGAATGCTTGCCGTCATAAAATTATGATCAAGATGAGCATAAATATTTAGTTCTTGAGCTGCAATTTCTGCATCTTCACCAAAGAACCTATATTTATACCCACACTCCACAAATAAAAGTACACCTGGGTGTTCCTTCTTCAAGTCTACAACTTGCTGTTCCAAAGGAGTGAACTTTACCTTGCCAAATTTGGCTAAACTTGCCACTTCAGAATTTTTGAGAGACCTTGATCCACAATTTGATTTGAATCCATCATCTGGACTATCTTCCTCCATCTTCTCAAGACAGTTACTTGAAAGGGAAGATGAGGCAGCACCAATAAGCCGAGACCGAGGCTTTGCAGTTCTCTTGCCATTACAATCAGAATCTGTTAAGGCTTCAGGAGAAGTGGAGAAACTCTTGAGTTTTAATAGGGTGCAGTCCGATAGTTTTATAGGGGCCTTCTCCTTCAGGACAACTTCTGTTGTTGGCTCTTCATCCAATTTGATGCGTTTGGGGGGTTCTTCAGAATCATCGGGGCTTCCATCCTAAATTCAATGCAGAGAATACAACAAGAATATTACAATTTAAATGACAAAATCCTGCGCGAAAATTTCAACAAATCAACAAATTGTGCATTCCAAATCCAGGTCTCAGCCCCCAGTCACCATGTTTCAGAGAGAGATTCGACAAACCTGAGAGATGACAGCTCACAGAGGTGCATGGACCAAGACCAGCAAAGCATGCTCATTGACAGAAACAGATTGTCTGAGATATGTTTGGGTGACTTCCCGTGCAATCAAGGGACAAAGGCACGTTACCTTTGAATCCACGCCTAGGTTAGATGATTTCTTGGAGCCAAAAAAACTTGATATAGTTTTCTGAGATAGACTGGGAGGATTTTGCACTGATGATTCTATCTTGTCTTTCGCCTTTCTTTTAAGTCGCCAAAAATTTGGTTTCGGTTTCGACATTTCTTTTCTGGAGGTGGAACGACTCCACAGCCGGCGAGCCTTTTGAGATGTGTGACGATGTGTGAGTGGAAGTGGAGTGAGAAAGACGGAGAGAGATATATAGTCAAACCTGAGAGGGAGAGAGAGAGGGAGAGGAAAGAGTGACGCCTCCACTAGCCCGACAATGTTGTGGTCCCCTTATTTTCAAGTTAACTTTGAAACGAACGCCAACAATATATCATATTCTATGTGGGCACTTTTCTAACAACATGAGTTAATATAACATTATTTATGGACAGCATTTAACCGGTTGTCATTTTAATGAACGCAGGGTAAGGGTACCTTGCTCGACAGCTTTTAAATCCCGCGCCACTGGGAAACATGAATGTCGGGCAAGCGCGGAGCTGTTCGCTGCAGTGAAATCCACGAATTTCGCAAATTCAGATGAGTTCTCAAATTCAAGCCGCAATTTTCTCGTGCTTTTTTAACGCTTGAATTTTGCGCTCAGCCGATTTGGCACGTTAAATCAGCTTTTGCGAGAAAATTTGAAAACGCCACGCCCACAAACAGTCGGTTCCACTCGTATCCAACACTGTCAAATCCATGACGTCACTGGCGCAGTCGCACAGAAGCAGACAGCACTGCAGAGAGTATCGATTTTTATGATTGTAGTGTCTGTTTCGTTAGTTTTAGTGTCTTTTCATGGGTAATATTGTGAATGGGACGCTTATTTGAGTCATACCGTGTTGAGTGAGTGTGAATAACACGGCCGAATAATGACGAAGGACAGACTAGCAGCGCTCAAAGCGGTAAGAAAACACTAACCACGAACGGGAGCGCTAGGCCTCGCCATTATTTCTGCTCTTGTAATATGTTTGAATCAAAGCCCAATTTCTTTTATTTGCAAGGTCTTTCCTTGAATTCGGTGACCTTGACAGGTCCTACCAATTTTCATATCACATAACGCACTGTTTGTAAAGCCGTAGCCTGTTGTCACTTGGAAGTGGGTTAGGACACTCATAGAGGGAGGGGTTTGGATGTGATGTCATCGTTTGAGATTAAACCGATTTTTTGGAATTCTGTATCACTGTTTCGGCTCCCACGAATACCTCATATTACAGACAAAACAATCAAGCATCTATATTTCACCAGGACCTCTGGCTGTCCTTTAAATTGCACTTAAAATGTCTTGAAAACAGTGAACTTGTTCTGCCATGGTCAGATAATTTTGACAAGTCCTCATGTCAACAGGCAGCATTTCAATTTGACAATCCTCTTGCTATGTTTATTTAAAGTATTGAGATGCCACAGTAATTTTTTGAATATTTTTTTTCATGTTTAGACTACTTTTTATTTGTTTTCAAATTAAAGAGGTTATGTAGTATACCCCCTTCCTCCCCCCTCTCAACGCTAAGTAAGTTATCTAAGTAAATGTCGGAAAGCGCCTTGACGTTTGTAAAGTCAATCAGCACTGTTTCAAATATTTTTTGTAAATGAAATCTCTGACTGAAAGTAATTGTTAAGAATGTCAGGAATGCCCAATACCACCTTGGAATTTGGCAACATTAGTTAAGATTACAGACGTTAAATTAGACCATTTTCTATAGAAGAAATTGAGGCTGCTAGACTCTTCACAATAAAAATCTTTACAATATTATTTGGATTTCATCGTTTTCACTTCTCTTCACTAACTCCTGTGTGTTCTTGTTTTCTAGGCGCAGAGCGATGATGATGATATGGGCCCGGATGATGTGGCCGTCACGGTGGAAGGCCGTGATGGCTTCATGGATGAATTCTTCGCCGAGGTATGTTAGGGTGCATGCTCCATTCAATTTCGGTGCCCTTCCCTACATGCTGTTCTCTTATTCTCAGTTCTGTTTAAAGAAATTAGAGATAAGCCAATTCACTGACTTTGTTTCCAGGTGGAGGAAATACGGGAAATGATAGACAAGATACAAGCAAATGTGGAAGAGGTGAAGAAGAAACATTCTGCCATTCTCTCAGCGCCTCAAACAGATGAGAGTGAGTTCCTGTCCATTTCTTTGTTCTTTCATTCTTTTCCCTCTTGAATTGACATGTTCCTTCAAACTTTTGAGTCCTTTGGTTTTGCAACAATTTTTGTTGTATTCGGTATTGTATGTTGGGAAGAGTGTATCTTCTTTCCATCATGCTTTCCCTTTCTTGTTTTAATTATTTAACGCTCCAAACACTTCAAGGAAACTTTCATGTGTGCCCTTGTTGCTGAATGTGTGCTTCTCATAGGGTCACTCACAAACCTGACCTTAAGAAAAACAAGCTCAAGAAGGTGTTTGTTATCCTTTACGAGTGGGTGAATTTTGGCATCATAAACATTCATTGTTTCTGATACCAAGGTTTAAGTGCAATGCCGCTCAAACATTTTCAAAATATTTATCCCATCATATTTGAAATTATTACTGCCACGAGGCTGTGTGGCCAGAGAGTGGGGGTGGAACTGTTAGCCGAAGCCTTTTCCCGAACGGAGGCTGGAGGCGCATTTCGTCGCTCTGTCTCTGTCGCACTCGTGGGGCTCTCCGTAAGGCCGTAAGGGTGCGAGGGAGACAGAGCGACAAACCGCGCACCTGAAGGCTCGTCTGCCGCGCCTCCACTGCACCGCCTCTCCTCGCGCCACCTCGCGCCACCTGTCTGCCTGCCGTGAGAACCGACGCCGCCCGGACCGCACCGCGCCTTTGTCGCCAGCCCGGCCAGCGCAGCCTGGCGCAGCCACGCGGAGTGGAAAGCCAGGCCCATTTTTCTTGCTCAAAGTGGATCATCTTCACACACACCCGGCAGCCCCAGCCCAACGCACCGCGCGCGGGGATGGCGTAGAGTGACGTGTGTCCCCCCCCGGTCCCCTCTCCGTCGGTGCGGCTGTGCGGCCGGTGCGGTGGGACTTCCCCCGCTGGCCGCGCACACAGCGGCGCGTGGCTGGCGGCCAAAGCCTCTGTCAAAGCCTCGGCCAAAGCCGAACCGAAGCCGAGCCGAACTGGACGCCAAAACGATCTCTCGAGAGGCAAAGGTCGACTTGTTGCTCGCATCATCGCAAGGACGGGATAATCGCCAAGAAGGGAGACGACAGATGAAACAGTACGGGCGAAGCGACGAAGCGAGCCAGTCCTCTGTCCGGTTGGCGCGCGGAGGGGAGAGGGGGGAACCGGCGGCACAGCGCTACTCATTCTTCCGCCCCCTCTGCTTTGGACGTTGGCGCGTCGGTCGGTTCGTGCCCTTAATTGGGTCCCAGCCGAAGCATCGTCGCTCTCTCTCTCGCACTCGGCACTCTCACGGGACGCCCCGTGAGTGCGACAGAGACAGAGCGACGACACGAGCCCTTCGGAATCACTCGGCTGGTCCATTCATTTGCGCGTGGATCATCTCGACCGGCGTCGCTGTGATAATGGATTTAACCGCTCGTTCCGGTTGGCGGCGGCCGGGGGCGGCCGGGGGCGGCCGGGGGCGGCCGGGGGCGGCCGGGGGCGGCTGGAGCGCGGCGCGGCGCCAAGAGGGCGGAGGATCCGAGGCGTGGGTGCTAATGGCATGGCGCGCCCAGTCGTCGCCCACGGGAACCCCCGATTAATAGGCAACCAATCCGGGCGAGAGCGGGCGAGAGGCGCCAGTGGCCTGAAGCATGGTGAAGATTGATCTCGTCGCTCTGTCTCTGTCGCACTCATGGGGCGCACCACCGCAGGGGCGCGAGAGAGACTGCAGGATGGCTGCAGGCTCGCGGGGTGCATGGTGCAGCGTGGCCGGCGTGCGGCGTTGAGTGTGGTCAAGAGCCGGGGCACGGCGGGGCGGGGCGGGGCGGGGCGTGCCGTGACATCTGCCACTTAGGCGCCCCGCCCACGGCGAGCCCACGGCGCCTCTCCCCCTCCCCTCGTCTTTATCACCGTCTCGGCCTTGCCTCTCGCCCTCCCTCCCTCTCTTCCCCACTCGACGGCCGCGGATTTGAGGGGCGCACACCCTCACCTTGGAAAAATATCGGCGGCGCAGCGGGCGGCCGCAAAGCCCGGCAAAAGCCGAGAGCGCGATCGACGTGCCTGACGCCCTTGACGGCGAGGGCCGGGGCGAGGGCCGTGCCCGAACCGCGGGTCACTGTCAGAGGGACGGTCACTGTGTGGTCACATCCGCCACGTACTCGACGTGCTTGACTGGGGCTGGCTCGGCAGGGGTGTCGTCGCTCTGTCTCTCTCGCGCCCCGGGAGTGCGAGAGAGAGAGAGAGAGGGGGGGGGGCTGCGGTGCAACAGCAGCAGCCGCAGTGGAGTGGCGCTGGCTCGGCCTGTTCGTCACGTAGCCCAGCAGCACGTCCCTGGTCGGCCCGCTCGGCCTGCTGGCTCATCCCGAGAGTCGTCTGTCTCTCTCGCGCCAACACAGGACGCCCTATGAGTGCGAGGGAGACAGGGAGATGAAAGCGACTCTCGGAATCAGTCTACTGCTCGGCCTGCTCTGGGCGGGGCTCCCGAGGGCTCTTTGACACCTTGCTCGGCGCTGCTCGGATTCCCCGGCTAGCCCCTCGAGACGCTGGCGACGCTGGCCCGGCCCGTCCGCGCCGTCCACCCCACTTGTTTAGCGACCGCTGCTTTTTGTCCGTCTAGACTCGGCAAGGACGAAAGGAAAGGACGTGGCGGCGCGTCGCGGCGTCGCGGCGTCGCCCGCCGCGCAGACTGATTCCGAGAGTCGTCGCTGTGTCTCTCTCCCGCCCGCACGGGACGCTCCATGAGTGCGAGAGAGACACAGCGACTCTCGGGCCGTCGGGCCGTCCTTGGAGTCCTTGGGGGTTGTTTCGTGTTTGGACCGGCCGGGCCGGGCCGGGCCGAGGGCTTTGCCGAGGGTGGGCCAAACACGAAGCGACGCGAAGCGCTCTTCGATTTTTCTGTCCCGCTTGCTGCTGTTGCCGCTGCGGCCCATTCCTTAAGCGCTTTGTAAATTCTCTGGTGGGCTTTCCTCGTTTTGCTCCGAGTGGGTGCGTCCGACGCGGGGCGAGGCGGGCGAGGCGGGGACGGGGCTCCGTTACAGCGGTCCCGCTCTCGCTTTCGCGCTCGCCGATCGGCTTCTGTCCGTCTGTCCGAGAGCTTGCGTGCAAAATGAAAACGGCATTAGGATATCGACGGTGGCGGCACAGTGGATTTGCCAGAAGACCGTCGCAGGCGGCCAAACTCTTGGCGCGTTTTGAGCTCCAGAGTCGCTAAACAGGACTGGAACCGACCGTGTGACCCCACCAATGGATTCCTTGTTCGGAGAGCAATCCATTGGTGGGTCCGGTACGAGTCCCTTTTAGCGGCTCTGGAGCTCGAAACTCGTCCGGAATTGATTTCGACCGCCTCCACCGGTCTTCTGGCCCACTGTGGCTATCGGCGCGGCTCGGTCCCTTGACAGTGGCGTGCCGTCTGCATGTCCGTCCGTGCGCATTGCGTTGCGTGTGGCGCGCTGCACCCAGTCGCCTGCCCAGCCTGCCCAGTACACTGGTGGACACTGGCCACCCATCCGGACGGCTTAGTCAATAGCGCCAGCCTGACCCTGCCCACTGCCCCGCCCCGCCCCGCCCGCCCGCGCATTGTCAAGCGTGCTTGTTGGGCTTGTTGGCAGTGTTGTCGGTGATCCCCTGCTTTGCTTTCTCGTGATTCACTGCGTTTGGTTTTTCGCCCGGGGCCATCCCGACCGGCTTTTCCCAGTCCGTATCTGCTCATTTGTTCGCGGATTGCCGACTAGGGGGTCGACAGCGTAGTGAGGGCGACTATCTTTCTCTTTCTCTCCCATTCTCTCCCCATTCCATTCTTCCCCTCTCTCCCTCTCTCTCTCTCTCTTTATTGGCAAGTTTGTAGAGGGGGCCAATTGCGTCCGACCATATCTCCCTTCGCACCCGCACACTTCCCATTCTAGTCGCGCACCGCCCCCCATTTCGCACATCTTCCTAACCACTACCCCACCCCCAATTCTTATTTGCCCCTCTCACGATCCCCTCTTTTCACCCCCTTTTCTCAATTTCCACATTCAACGTTACCCTGTCTTCCCACCTCCACTTCCCACCCCTACTTTCCACCCCGACTTTCCACCCCGACTTCCCACCCCAACTTCCCACCCCAACTTCCCACCCCCTACATCCCACCCCTACATCCCACCCCTACTTCCCACCCCTACTTCCCACACCCCACTTCCCACTCCCCACTTCTCACCCACTTTCCAACCCCCACCCTCACTTCCCACCCCCACTTTCTACCCCACTTTCCACTCTTTATTTTCTCTCCTCTTTCCACTCGTCACCCCAACAACCCACTCGTCGCCCTAACTCTACCAGCCCAGGCCCACACGACCCATGCGTCCCCATCTTCCTGCGCCCCCTTGACCCGTTGACCGTCGTCGAGACGCGGCGACGCGGCGTGGGCGAGACAAGAGACTCGATACCGCTGCCTTTGTGCCAGCGCAGACTGATTCGCCCTGTCTCTCTCGCACCCATACGGGTAGCTCTACGAGTGCGAGAGAGACAGGGCGATGCCTTGCCGCGTGGACACTCGCCGGATGGGACGCTGCCAACAGGAATGCCTGATAGCGCGTCCGCGGCACTGTAACACTAACACTGTTGGTGGCGTGCAACACGCGCCGCTGCGCTGCTACACTGGTACACGATGCGCCGCGTCGCCGCGTCCCTTCCTGTCCTCCGCTTTCGGCTCGGTTTGTCTATTGCCCGTTCGGCCCCCTCCCCCTCCCCCAAAGTTGTTGTGATACTTCTCCGGGCCAGCGCGCCGCCAGGCCGCCAGCGCGCCGTGGCTTGATCCGGCGCGAGTCGGCGGGACATGGCTCCCGGCCGTCGCCTCCCCCCCCCGCCGCCGCCCCCGCTGCCGCCCCCTCCCCCTGCGCCCACTATTGATCTGCCTGGATTGTGAGCGCGAGGCGCGAGGGGGTGGGGAGCAACCAGCAGCAAGCCAGTGGCGGCCTGGTGGGCCTGGTGGGCCTGGTGGGCCTGGTGGCCTGGCGGGGTGCGTGGCTGGGGGAGCCGAGCCACCCCCGTGCA